ACATTTAATTACTCTGTTTCACAGTACTGAAATCTTTGACAAAGGAAAAGGTCAGAAATACTAAGTTGAGTAAATTCTTCAATCCTTTTTACATGTATCAATTACCTTAAGTTATGATACTGTTTGCTATGAAAAGCAAACAATATAATCTACCTCCATTCTTTAAAAAGTTATGTGTTYTCTCTGTCCAAGAGCAATTATTAACTCTTAAAAGGCCAGCGTATAAAGTCTTCTGCAATTTGTTTGGTATTTCCAGTGATTTTTTTTTTCTTCCAGTGTTTGCCTTTTCTTTCTTTATTTTCACTTAGTAAGGTTTTTGTTCTGACTTAATTTTTAGTCAAAGTCCTACAAATATTACTGCTTCTACTGAAGTATGTATTTTAAACTGTGGTAATCATCTGAACTAAGCTTTCTTTCAGCTGTTCCTGATGGAGTTAGAATCACAGCATCATTAAGGCTGAAAAAGCCTTCTAAGGTCAGTAAGTCCAACAATTAACCCACACCAACACCATCTTCACCATCAAACTATGTCCCCAAGTACAGCATCTGTTTTTTGAACACTTACCAGAATGGTGACTCGACCACTTCTCTGGCCATTCTGTTCCAACAGCTGACTTCATTTCAGTGAAGAATTTTTACTAATGTCCAGTGGGAAATGGAGGCCATTTCCTCTTGTCCTGTCATTGGTTAGCTGGGAGAAGAGACCAAAACCCACCTGGCCACAGCCTTCTTTCAGGCAGTTTCTGGGAGTGATGAGGTCTCCCCATGAGCCTCCTTTTCTTGTGTGCTGCTCCTCACAGGACTTGTGCTCCAGCCCATTGCCCATCTCTGTTGCCCTTCTCTGGACTTGSTCCAGCAMTTCAATGTCTTTCTTAAATTGAGGAGCCCAGAAATGAACGCAGCATTTGAGGTGTGGCCTCATCAGGGATGAGTATATGGGGACAATCCCTGCCCTCCTCCCACTGACCACACCATTGCTGATCCAGGCCAGGATGCCATTGGCCTTCTTGGCCACCTGGGCACACCCTGGCTCATGTTCAGCTGCTGTCACAGCACCCCCAGGTCCTTTCCAGCCACTCTGCCCCAGCCTGTGGCACTGCCTGGGGTTGTTGTGACCCCAGGGCAGGACTCGCCCTGGGCCCTTGTTGAACCTCACACCCTTGGCCTTGGCCCATGATCCAGCCTGGCCAGATCCCTCTGCAGAGCCTTCCTGCCCTCCAGCAGATCAGCTCCCACYCAGCTCAGTGTCATCCACGAACTTAAATGAAGATGCACTTTATCATCAATAAAGATATTAACTGTGGCTCAGTACTGAGCCCTGGAAAGCCACCTGTGACAGCAGCCAGCTGCCTGTAACTCCATTCATCACCACTCAGGGCCCRGSCATSCAATGAGTTTTTAACGCATGAACAGTGCACCCAGCCAAGCCACGAGCAGCCTGTTTGTCCAGGTGAATGTTGTGGGAGACAGTGGCAAAGGCTTTAGTAAAGTCCAGGCAGACAACACCCACAGGCTTTCCACATCCTCTAAGTGCGTCACCCTGCCATAGAAGWGAYCAGGTTGGTCAAGCAGGATCTGCATGTCACAAAACTGCCAGCTGGGCCCCTAATAAACCCTGTTGTTTTGCATGTGATGGCACTCAGAATCAACTGCTCCATGACCTTTCCTGGCACCAAGGTTAGGCTGACAAGACATGTAGATTCCTAGATCCTTCTTCTTACTCTTCTTGTAGATAGGCATTACAATTGCCGACTTCTAGCATCTCCCGTTAGCTAGGACTGTTGAAAAGTGATTTAAAATGTTTTGGTGTTTTAAAATGATTTAAAGCCCCTCCGTCAGTTTCATCAGTACCCTTGGGTGGATCCCATGTGGTCCACAGATTTGCACTTGTCTAAGTGGTTACTAAGTAGTAACTATTTCTTTCTGAGTTATGGGGGCTTCATTTTTCTTCCCATTGCTGTCTTCCTGCTCAGGGGAAAAAAACTGAGACAAAAAGGGTATTAAGTACCTCAGCCTTTTCTTTATCCTTTAWCAATCTTTTCCCCTGCATGTAATAAATGATGGAGATTCACGCTGCCCCTCCTTTTGTTTCTGACGTATTTGCAAAACMAGTTTTTCTTGTCTTTTTCACCAGTAGTCAGACTAAGTTCTAGCTGGGGGCTTGGCCCTTCTGATTTTGTCTCTGCATAACCTCCCAGCATCCTTGTAGTCCTGCTGAGCTGCCTGACCCTTCTTCCCAAAGTTATAAAATGTCTCTTACTCCCCAAGTTCCACTAAAGCTCTCTCCTGAGCCAGGCCAACCTCCTTGCCCACCAACTCATCTTTCAGCACCTCTGGGATTTCGTTCTGCCTTCCTGGACTCCTAAAGGACTCTCTCAGCTAGTTTCCTAAACAGCCCTAGACTGCCCTCTGAAAATCCAAGGTGGCAGAGCTGCTGACCCCTGTYCTTACTTCTCTGAGAAGCAAAACCTCATTTTTGTGGTTGCTTTGCCCAAGACAGCCTCCAGCAATCACATCACTCACCCATCTTTTTCTGTTTACAAAAAGCAGATTCTCACTGAAAGCTCAGACAACTCCTCAAGCAATTGGGAATCCGGCTCAGTAGGGTCCTGTTACTGTGCTGCATAGTTAAATCTGCTCTAAAAACAGTAAGACTGCTTGTGGCTGTTTTTGTTCCCATGACACCACTGCACTCATGAAAGACAGGAGTTTTCAGTTCTGGTAACTCCATTTATGAACTGAGATATGATGCATGATAATCAAATTAATTCTCTCAAAAGTTGCTGCTACCACAAGGAAGTCTAGCTTTAGTGAAATAAAGGATCAGTAAGAAAAATTCTGTAGTAAGTTAAGTGTAGCACTCTCTAGTCTGAGATGATCTAAAAATACCCCCAAAACAAAAAGGCAAGTTTATTAAAATTAATTCTCAAGGGTTTACTTACTTTTATTGAAAAGAATTAATTTTCTGGGCAAACTGCAGCAGCTCATGAACTGTTTCCATGAGAAGAGCCCTTTCTTTAAAGGAATCTTTATGTAATACCTACATCCACTCAACTCTCTCAGAACCAGACCCTCATAGTCCACAATAATTTTGAAGGTAGAATACAGAAATACTGTATCAAGTGATAAAACATGACTTTTCAGTTAGCCTAGACATACTATTTTTGAGATAAGATTCTTTAAAGAAAGCCACAACACAGTCACTGAATGTTGCATTTACTCAATTTCAAAATTACATCAAAATCCTTTGAAAAGTTATTCAGTCTTTCCCAACAGTTAGCAATGCTTTAGTGAGTTCTAGTTGAGGAAATATTCCAATTACATATTGCGTAAGTCAGTACACTAAAAACTAAGGTTCAGTAAAACTGATGAAACAAGCTTAAATTTATAACTGAAGCAGTTTATATGTTGTATTAATATATAATACGAATAAACCTCTTAGTGTACTCTTTACACTGAAGAGTTCACAGAAAATGCAACACTTTCACATTTACTTCAAGTCATCTTAAATAAATTCAATTTAAAACCACTTTCATAGTAGCATTCCACGTCACAAGCAATCACTTGTACTCAAAAATATTAATGTGTGAGAATTTTTCCTCTGCCCTCAAATTTAATGTTACWTAAAATACAAACTAATATTCACCTTCAACGTTTTGAAGTAGAACTATACTGAGCAGCAYGTGAAGCCTAAGCCAGCTAAAATAAAACAAAATCAGAATTTTTCTAAAGAATGCATATCTTTTGTTAAAAATATTACAGGAAAAGGTATCAACCATACTTAGCAGAACTTGTTTGGATTTCAAAAAGAGCTGTGAAGGGACAGTCAACCCTAATAAGGTCAGGGGTTGCTCTGTGATACAGGCTACGCAGATGCTCAAGTCTCAGCCACCAGTTGTGTATTGTACAAGAAGTACAGGCTGGGAAGGATGAACAATTTTAAGTTTGGTAGGTGCAAAAACCCCACCTTTCACTCCATTATAAATGATTTCCAGATTTATCAAGTTGTTCAAAGAAAGCGTAAATACCCTGTCTCAGTACCTATGTAGGCATTGAAGACCACTTCACGTACATTAAACTACTTTAAAGCTTAGTGTTCCTTCAGGTACTATTCAAGTCATTAGACTTGCTGACTCTGAACCTTTAACATCATTTACCTGAAATTTAAGTAACGAGAATACTACAAGTGTCATTATGAGGAAGGAGTTACCTTAACTRCTTCCTCTAGAAGAAAAGTGCAAATGTTCTAAAGTATTTGTTTATATATTCTTAGCTTTACCTAAGGTATGTAGTAGGAAAACAACACAAAATTCCTAATAATATAATAAAACCAAAGCCAGAGATAATGGGATACACTTTCTTTGCTATAGGTGAAGTTCAGAGCTCTCACATGTAAACAYTTTTCAGCATGGCAAAAATATCCCCACATCTGTGAAACAACACTGCTCACTTGCACTATCTAGTTTTCCTGATTCACCTCTACTCCAGTAAGGAAAGTGATGATACAGAGTTTTGATCTATTGCTCACATTTGTTGTAGCTCCTCTATCAACATGAAGAGGGTCCACAGCATGGCTTCTTCAACTGGCAGTGGCCATGGACTTAGGGAGAAGGGCAGAAGATTCTGGTGTGCATACAGGAGAGATAAAATTRTTTGCAGAGTTGCATGTCCAGCAGAAAAAGAGGTATCACTAAGTCATTGGAACCTTCCCTAAATTTCAACAGCACTACACTCATATTTCAGGGTTTGTGAATGAGTATGCTTCAAAAATAGAGGCATTGGTGATGGTTCCATATAGAAGATACAGTAAGAATTGAAAATTTAATTATAGAAGGTTTACCATCTACCCTTCTAAATAAGAGTTATAATTACATTACAATTRCATTGTGTTATTGAATATTATAAGGCCACTACCTTAAACCGGAAGCATGACTTCTACATAAAAGTACATAGCTGGACTGATATTACACCACAGTACTTCTTTAAGAAGGTTTTTTTTTTTTTTAATTTAATTTGCCTTCTTGAGGAGTAAACTTAATCTCTAAAGGCAGATTATGTCCCCAAGTATACACAAAACACTTTCACCTCAGTATCACTATGGTGTAACCATAAATAATTCAGCATGAAAAAGCCAACTAACCCCTGGCCCCCACATTGTTCAGGTTGCTGAACAATGCCACAGCCCTCTTGCTCTGCAACAATTTTCTCCATTCTGAGTTTTCTTTGTGCAGTTACGCTTCCTTCCTGTAACAAACAAGGAGGTTAATAAGAGAACATAAACAATAACATGGGAAGCATTTTCTTTACATGGTGTACCTCYGTGTAAATTTCAAAGTCACGTTTAGATTTATAGATTCTTTAGATATCAAAGAGTAGCACCATTTATTTCTAACTAATAGAGCTGGCTGTTCTAATAAATTTGAGATTGATTTTGGAATAATTTAATGGGAAAGTATTTGTAAACTACTCAGAATTTTTGTAACACCAGTTAACAACTGTAAGCTCATTAATTATATGAAAATCAATGYATATTTTATCAGGGAAAATTTTAAAATTGAAACAATATCACCAAAAGGACTTTCAAAGCATCCTTGTAACACTCCTCCATTCCCACTATTTGTCAATGTTTCACGTTTCAAAAACACTATAATGAYGCAAGTTTACTGAACCAGTTATCCAATCTAGGACAAAGGTTTATATTTTTCTGTAACAACCAACTTAAATAAAAGTCCCCTCTTCAGAGAGCAGGCCTGGCAACAATACCCTAAATCGTGCAAACAAAATGAAACAAAACCATAAACTACAACATTAAATTGCAGCTGATGTAAAGTTAAGCCACATCCAGGACGCCAGCAGCCACTAGCTGCCTCGAAAGCCAGTCCAATCCTTCATAAAGTCCTGTACCACTTCGGGCATCGCAACCCTGAATGTACCAGCTWCGGCCACAGCAGAGTTTGTGGAGACTCAACAGTTCCGTGATTTCTTCCACTGAAAGGGCACCTGCTACATCCTGCAAGAGAATCAGATACAAAGACTCAATTATTCTTCTGTATTATGTTTGAAGCCATTTTATTGGCTTAGACTGAAACTACAGATCACATAAAATCTCTTCAAACACAAAGGACATATCAAACAATTAGTGCTTATTGCCATAAAAAAACCCCTGGTAGCAAGCACCCTTAGCATCAACATTTATTTGAACAGCATTACACATTAAGGAAAACATCTGTATTTTATACTTTCCACATTACCACTTCCTACCCACAGCTGAGGATTCAGAAGGTTGGAATCTGATAGGTAAGCTGAGAAAAAGAGAGAAAAACAAATCACAAATACCTGTTTATTAGCAAAGATCAAGAGCAAGGCATCCCGCAACTCCTTCTCTGTTAACAATTTTGCAAGTTCACTGTATGCTTCACTGACCCTGTCTCTGTGACTGCTATCAACAACAAACACCACCGCTATGAAAAAAAGAGAAATATTTACAAACATTCAAATATAAACTCTGCAAAACTGGCTCTCAACTTACACAATTACTTTTTTCTAGCAGCTTTCTACAAGCAGTCTTTCAGCAGCGTGCAACTTCAATTTTAAATCCAGTATGACAAAGAAATTCCTTACATACTTCTATATTTTAAACAGAAATCTAGAATTTGTCCTAAAACWGGGAGAAAAATCTCAAAATTTTTTCCTAGTCTAATATAAAAGGCATGATATTTAAATACTTAGGTCTAAAACCAGATTTACTATGTGTGGATTAAGTATCTCAGTTTGAACCATTTCTTGATCCATTTATACTCCATTAACTCCCATATGACTGTTTCAGTTTCCCTTAATGGGCTGTAATATTCACAGGTTCAGCCAAATCTGCACAGCTTGCTTCAACTACAGACTACACGATCCAGAGAAGATGGYCATGGATCCAACGTAGCAACAGTAGATTTTACTATCCACTAGAGACAGCAACTAAGATGCCAGAAAAACTAGAGAGTCAGGGGGGCAGAGCTAGAGGACAGAATTTAGAATCAAGGGTTTTGCAAAGAAAAAAAATCCAACACCTAAATTAAATAAAACCTACTGCAGTTATGTACCACTGTAACTACTTAGCTTTCTCTCCAACAAACAATTCATCAGGGCAGGCATGATTCCATGCTACTTTACATAGTATGTTTTAAGAGGACAACAGAAATCCCAAAATACAATTTTTAAAACTATGACAAGATGGGTAATTTAAAATGCTAAAGTTCACATTTAAAGCTGAAATAATGCACAAAGGAGAGCACAAAAACTGGTGTTTGTAATTCCTGTTTGTAATTTCAGATAATTGTGAATTAATCAATTAAGAGGAACTTTTTTCTCAACTGGAAAAAACCTATGGAGGATTTGCAAAAGGACAACATTAATTTTTAGGTTGGCACCACATACATCAACGTTTTCAGAATCAGTAATCTAATCAGATATTACACTGCAATAGCAAGTCAGAAGTTACAGAACTCTGCAAAATTTTTTAAGTTGCTACCTAAAGGCTCCTAAAAGCTGAGTGCTTTCAAGTGCTATTTATATTTCATACCTGGCAAGTACTGCTTCTCACTATGCAGACTTTGGAACACTGTACCTTGCCTTTGTCAGCTAGAACCAATTTAACAGAGGTTCTAATTTTGTTTGGCTCCATGAGCTGTCTGATGGATTTATGGGGAATGCACCTTTATCATGCAGCAGACACTATGACCAACTGGATTAAAATTTATTAGCTCATGAATCTAGCAGCTGTACTTTGCATTAGATGAACAACTTTCTATGGTCATAAATTATTTCTATTAATAATCTTTCTGGCTCTGAAATACAAGCTAGAAGACAAAATACAGTTGAAGAGTTGTATCAGTATTACCTTGCGTATTGAGATAATAATGTTTCCATAAAGGCCTCAATTTGTGCTTTCCTCCTACATCCCAAATAGTAAACTTTAAATTCTTGTATTCCACTGTTTCAACGTTAAAACCTGGAATAAAAATATTGAAGTTTTACAGTCCTGCTCTGTATGAACATAAAATAACCAGAATCAGCAGATAAGTCAAACATTCGGAAAAGTCATTACATTTAAATTGTAGCTACTAACCTATTGTTGGAATTGGCTGCATGAATTCATCTTGCTTTAACTTAAACAAAATAGTTGTTTTGCCAGCTCCATCTAATCCTAAAGTAACAACCCGAATTTCCATTTTTGGTCCAATATGTACCCTGTTGTCCTGGAAGAAACAGCATACACAAAACAAGAGATAATTTAGGAAATTCAGTGTAGAAAACACTTATGTTCAATACACACATTTTATCACCATTTGTAAAATGATTAAATGGATGGACTCCAAAAGTGCAAGGCACAACCATCAATCACTTACAGTAACAGCAGAAACAAAAATCTCTGTAGTGAACCTGTAATGAGTTACCACGTCTTTTAGAAAGTCAGCAGTTTCATGACAGGTATGTTTGTATTCGATAAAATCACAAATTCATCATTCTTGGGTGAAACCATGTRAAGAATTGTTTGTGCCAATTAGAGTTCTCTGACCAGAGAACTCTTTTTAGCCCCCTTTTTTAATGTCTCCATCTAAAGAATTACTTCCTTTCTGGAGATTCCATAGCTTCACCCCAAGCCTCTTCCAATTCTTTGCAATGGCAACATTATTAGCACTAAGCAGTAATCTGAAGTAGGAGWGAAAAACAAACAAAACTCCTCACGTCTTGCTTTAAGACAAGAAATGAGAATCAACTTCCCTATTTGTAGTTTACACCAAGCTATTGTTAAGTATTGAAGGAGATGAGACTGGCAATGCAATCAAATAGCAAAGCATAAATTCTAAAATAAACAACATAGGCTGAGATTACTATATAATCCTGAAACACATTTTGAAGTACTTAGAACTGCTATCTTGGTGAAACACCAGGGTTTCAATCACCAGAACTAAGTGGCAGTATATTTGCTTTCTTGCAAAATSCAGACAGCACTGTGCCTACTCCACACACTCCAGCGTTTTATTTCTTCTTACAGAAGAAATACTACTGAGTGCAAAAACCATACAAACTGCCCTGGTAAAAGACCAACATGTCACCGGTATGACATGACAAATACAAACATCTACATCATATGATTTGAGATATCTAACTATCTATATACGTACACACACACACACACAGAGGATCCATTATATATTTGGATATACTGTCATCATACTGGATTTTCCCTTTTGTGACAAGAGAAGTAGCACACTTTCAGAACAATCAATACAATTCAATGACCTTATGCATCACAACTCCTGAAAAGACTAAAAATACCTTGAGAAACTGCTTCCTACAAAAAATTAAAAGGTAATTATGCAACTACCACAATGCAAAAGTCAGCAATATCATGACTGTTAAGTGTAAGAGCCAGATCAAGGTTCATCTCATTGAATATGCTGTCTGAAACTAGCCAAAGACAGATATGAAAATAAGAAATAGAGAAAGCATATAGTGATAACTCTCCAAAGTACCTGCCCTGTGCTTATTATCTTGCAGCTCATGGATTTGCTGAGCCAACAGTGAAGTTTCTGCAGCTAGGTGCATTATTCACCTATGAATTTCTCTGCTTACTGCTTGAAACATAAATGGGCCCAGATGACCCTTATCAGAGAGCTCCACAGACTACCTATTCAGTGTGAAAAAAGTGCCTTCATTTGAATCTGGGAAATAATAAACTTGTATAAGCTCAGCAGGTCCAGTGCTGTTATTACACAAGGCAGATGCTCCAAAACCAAAAGACTGTTTGAGATTTGGAAAATAAAACACTGAGATGTAATCACTTTTTAATAAATTTCCCTTAAGTTCTAGGTATTTGGAGTCAGCTGAAATTCACTGATAACACGGCAACACAACGTATTAACAAAATGGGTTACCTCCTTCTGGAAAAGAAAAACTTGTGGACAGATTCTTGACAAACACAACAATAACAGGGGCAGAGGAAGAGAAGAAACACAAAAGTATGCAGAAGGCTCTGAAGAGTCTAAAAAATGCCCTATCTCCAGCACCCTTTTCACACTCAAATCTCAGTTCTGATTTTGTCTAAAATTTCCATCAATGATTCTCCTCAGTTCTCTGCACCAGAAAGGAAGGAGGAAGAAAAAGTAGCAGCTCTGGACAGAGCTGCTCAGTTTATAGGCTTCTTGCAGGAGGCAGCATCCTGGCTGGGCAGAGCTTGCAGACAGTGAGGCAGCCTGGCAATCCCCTCATAGCTCCACCAGAAGCACTAGTTACCTCTACAGCTCCCACAGCATTAGGTAGTACAAATAGTAGTAGTAGTTAAATCATCAGGGAAGGTGATTGGTGACACTGTTAAATTTAGCCATCCTGTTGCAATTYGCTTTCTCTAAGGTTTAGAATGCAAACAGGCTGTTCTCAGATACATTTCTCTCAGAAAGAATCAAAACACTCTGTGATGGATACCAAATTTCCACTTTTTGCACAAGTAATTCTGTCAAAGTCCTCTGTATAGGTTTATTTAATACTATCTTTAAGTACTTTCCCTCTGATAGATTATCATCTTTACAGGTAGTTTTGGTGTTGGTAAGGGTTAGCAGTTGCCCACACTTAGTTGAACGCAGTAGTGACTACTTATCTCTTAATTTCAGGCACTGTTCCTTCATCATTTTCCCTCTCCAYAGCATGCACACACATGTATCGACGATGACCAAATGCTATTTGTGTATATATCATTCTACAGCCACTGCAATCATTTGACAGAAAAGCTTCTTCAAATAAGGATCACACTTCTTATGGATAAGGAGCCATTTCCTTGCCACCAAGCTAAGCACATGAAGACATCTCAACTGGAATTCTCCAAATCCTCTCTTCAGAGCCTTCAGTGTATGCCAGCCCCTGAGAGAGACCTTCCCAGTTATATAATAATGGTTTACAGTKTCATATGTAGTCTACAGGGTTTTTATCTGAAGACTTTATTTCTGCCTGATACCTGTTGCCAGATCTAGATCATTCATGTACAACAAGCCTCACTGCAAGTCACAGCAGTGGCACAACAGGATTCTAAAAACATATAGTGCAGAAAGAGAGCATTATGCTTTATCAGATGTGAAGAAACAAGTGAGAGACTGAAGGAATTATTTTCATCTTTTCCATGGCTGTTATTGTATTTGTGAAAAATTACACTTGCTTTGGCACCTTTGAAATTCAGATATTAACCTTCAGAAGACTTCATAAAAATACAAATTGTTACAGGAGAAAACCAAGTATTCTGGGTCCCCCAAGCCTATTTCAGGCCTCCGGTAACACCTCAGTTGGCTCCTATCATTCTTTTTACAAAAGTTCAGAAATTCACAATCAAAATTTTCTGAGTCAGATGAGTAACTTCTAAAGGCAAAATCAGACATTCAAAATGCCCTGCTGACTCAACAATTCTTCATCTGTCAAACGTGATTACTGCTTCATTCATGGAATAATGCAGTTTGCAGAAGTTTCCCTGGCCCTACCAGTTCTAGTCTCTGCTGAAGAGGAAAGAGACAAGCACAAGTGAAAACGTTGCATTAACACGGAAATTCAAATATACTGAAGTGACAATATAATTTTTTTTTAAGAAATTTAATTTCTTGTGTCAGTAAGAACTGACATAGAACTCCTATGGAAACATTAACTTCCTTATAGTAAATGCTTCAACAGCTACAGTTAAATCCTCATTTTCATCTCAGCAACAATAGATCCTCTTCCTCGTTCACCCATTCAGAACCAAAAAACCACACACATCAAAGCACTTCTTGGTTCCTTGAGTTTCAAACTTTAATTGACTTTCCTACAAGGAAAATTATAAATAATAAYACCATACATATATACCAAATACCATACATATATACCAAATAGAAGTACCATAACTGAACTTCAAATAATTTAATCCCTTTCAAAGAAAGTGATACTGAAATTATACTGAAGCAATAAAACTCAAACCTACTTAGAAGATGAACCATGTCTAAGCTAAGCTATCAGAGGACACAAAGCAACTATAAAAAAAAGACTGTTTAATGAACTGAAAGAAATACAGGCTTTTAGTATTATAAACTGGAAGTTTTAATAGTAGTATTGCCATTAAAAYAGGTGAGCAATTTTCAAGAAATAATCATGTTTCCAAAGAAAGGAGTTTTTAGACTCACAAATGCTGTGCAACATATTAAAAAGAAAACAGCTCAAACAAAGTTACTGATGTGGTCAATGTCAAATGAACATTTCTCATCCTAATTGTAACAGCACAATGGTTTGTTGCTCAAACACCAGATTGCACTCATCATTTAAGACACTGTGGCTCTAACTGATCGTAAACTGGCTCAAAATGTTGCAACAAATACAGCATTATATGTACATATATTATTCCTGCTTTATTTTAAATCACATTTGGGACTTCATAACGTGCACAGTTGTACTCCTAAGAGATTAAGTATACCTTTGTAAAAGTGACAGGTATGCTAGCATCCAGCTGTACATGATCTGCAAGTTCTGTAAACTGCTGCTGCTGTTTCTGTAATGTCTCTAGCAATCTTGTAATTTCCTGTTTGGCCAGCACTACTCTGCAGTCATCCTAGACAAATAAAGAAAACAAAAGCACGCCTTTCCTTTAGTAATTTACTTTTTAAAACCCCAAATACAATATAACTATGATTGCTAGAAATAAGGCATTTTAAAGAGAAATATTCTACTTCAAGAAACTAACACTTACAAAACAGATTTATTTTAAATTGCAAAAGAAATATGAATACCTTAACATTTTTTCTTAACATTAATAGGTACTACATACTAKATAGTTCTGCAGGTTTAAAAAAAAACCAACAGATTTTCTTTATGAGCCACCTAAGAGTAATATAAATTATAAGAAAAAATAACAATGTAATACATAAAGAATATTTCTTTYGTTCATCCATCTCAGATGGAATAGAGCAACCTCTTTGCAGCATACAGCAGCACACTTGAGAGGAAAATATTAGTATCCACCCATTCATGATCAGAACATTGGTACAGTTAAATCTGATTAAGCAACTGAACACAAGGTCTAAACATATCTGAAAAAAATTAAAAATAATACATTAATGAAACATCTTCTCACACTCAGTTTACTATTTGCTACACATACTATTTACTTTTTCCTRTCATTAAACTGAGTGAATAAGGGATCAATCAAAATACTCTCATACAGCCACATTCTTCATACATCTAAGATGTTGAATTACCCATGTTACAAGTGCTACTGAAAGCTACTTAACCCTAGAACATTTTTTCTTACCAGTAATGTATGACAACAAACCCCTAGACATCTATAATTGTAACTGCAACTGTGAAATCCTTCCAATAAATTCTGTAGGGCTTTTTTTTGCTTCAGTCTTGTCTTGCCTTTTCACTAACCTCACAAATACCAGAAATTACTCCAGAAAAGCCATACCACCGACTTTCCAGCAACTGAAGGATGCTGTGCTTTTGTACTGATAATCTTTGTTCAATACTCCTTTGTAATGAATACTTAAATCTCATGTTATATTATGATTGTTTTAATCTTATTAGGAAATAACACAGAGTACCAYCTAACCTCTTTTTTCATAGTCTAAACTTAATATGTTGTTCCATGTATTTTACCATATGCTACAGTTCACTTGCCAACCTACTTGTTGTAAAGTCTTTTCACAGTGAAGGCAAGCTGTTGAAACCTGTGACAGGAGAATGGTCATGTCTTCTTGCTGTTGCCTAAGCCAAATCAACTTCTCTCTGACATGAGCATCAACAACACTAAGAGCCATTTCCTCCTGACGACAAAGGGTTTCATGAAGATCAGAAAAATAAGCTCGAACACATGAGCGTGCATTCTCTGCAGTTCCTGGTACCTACAGTGTTACAGAAAGGAGATCCAAGAGATTAAGGACATGAGTTGATTCCAGAAGTATACTTTAAATTTTATTCCAGCTTCTAAATTATTTTTACATCTGCTTGGCTACATCACAGTTCAAGTCCCAGTTAGGGCTGATGAAACTTTCTGCATAATACCAAGACCCTCCAAGAAACTACTCCTATAATCACGTAGCTCATTTGCATATATACACACCTTATTAAAAATTATCAAGGAAAAAAGCCTCAATAGTATTAGATCATCTGAGAACACACACAACTTGTACACTAGCAGTTATACAACTTTTCCAACTGCCTCCATATTTTCATATAGCCCAAAAACATTGTAGCACACAAGTTCTGAGCATGCTGCTGACCTAAGACTGAATACTGACTTGCTAGATAAAAGAATTTAAAGTCTTGTCCTATAAAACCTACACATAATTTTCAAAGAAATACCTTATCCTTGTTATTACAAAAAAAGCAAATAATATGTGCATGTGGAGGAAATGAAAAGTTTTAAAAAGCATACATGTTCAGTATGGGCCATTCCAACGCCATCTTCAACTATTTGCTCTCCTCCTTCTATATGTTGGACAATTCCAACCAATTTTCTAGAATAATCTGAGATTTCTTCTGTGAAAGTTCTTATACAGTGAGCCATGTCTAAAATGGATGCACGGATCTGGTTTGCTTCTGGTTCCAAGACAGAGTGCTATTAATTAAAAGCAACATATTAAAAATCAATCATAAATATCTTCCTTAATCACCGTTCCTATTTTACTATATGTTTAATATACAGGTACATGCAAGTACATGGGCATGTATTTACACATATACATACAAAAGTCAAGTAAGAATTTAAAACCATCTTGCATTCTAAAAATACAATCAGGACTTACAGATTATGTTCAAACAAACTTTGATATCTAGCAATTATACAGGAAAACAGAAACTTGCCTGTTTGTCATAATTTATTATAAAAAAAGAAGAGTGGTTAGACTGCCCCAGTGATGTGATATATACCTAGTGTCCGCACTATGAAAATGAATTAAATTACTTATGAAATTAAATTACTTATGAAAACACCTTTTAAAACTGGTGGTTTAATGTCATGAGAAGTTCAGAAAAACAGCAGATAACGGGACTGTCCTTCTTCATGTGTACAGATATACATTAGTAACTCATTGAGTTCTTAGAAATTCTTTTTTTTTAATTTTACCATAGCAACTRTCTAACATAAATGGAAATGAAAAAATGGGATGAACACACATCAAGAGTCTACCCTCCTTTCTTGACAACCTTTTGTAGTTTAATTGGATAAATAATTAAGCAAGCCACCCCATGGCATGACTAGAAATTAATTACTTGCAGTACCTTATGACCTTGATGCTTCCCATATTCTTTGCAGACACAACACATGAGAGGACTTGTCTGACAGCCCTCTTCTAAACAAACAAACTCAATGGCATGCACTTGGTGCTGGGAGCACATCGTCTTCTCATGAGGCTTATCAGCAAGAGGTACACGCCTGTGCTTCGCTAGAGTCTTAGTAGAATGAGTATGCTGGGAACAGTCTGCACACAGGTGAGTGGCACAAACAGTGCAATACACGGATGCMACATGTGCTTCATCTTCATCACAACGAACGATACTCTGACAACAAAAACAGGCAAAACTGAAGTTGTTAACACTTAATCCCAATAACAGAGGAAAAATCAGAAGACTGGTCAACAATGTAAGCTTTCTGTAGAGGTTATACACTAATAAATATTTCAACTATTTTGAAATTTAAGTTTCCAATAAAATGTTAAAAAMCAAAAGATAAAGTGTCCAGTGATTTTTTAAATCCAAGCTTCAGTGCAAGTTGTAAGGTAAAGACAAAGGTTTGGAGGAGAAAACAAATCTGGCTCCAGTAATTTCTTCCAAAGCAGTCATTACAGAACAACTACTGAGAAGAAGAGCTGAAGTCTCCAGGAAGAATTCCTAAGAAGTTTTAGAAAGCTGTGTTTATATCACTATAACTAAAATATCAAAATGAGTAACCTTTTCTAAAAATCCTAAAGGCATAAAAACCAGGGAAAATATTATGCATGCTTATCAACAGCTGTTTATTTTCTGCTTCAGTCAAGTAAAAATTAGCATTTAATTAAGAAGCAATTAACTGAAGCCTTAAAACTAGATACTAGAACAAAAGAACAGCATTATTGGTGAAATTACATTTGGCAAAGAACYGATTTTCAATTTTTTTCTATTTAGAGACAACTCCTACCATATGTAACAATTTTTTTSGGGGTTTGTTTAAAACTCAGTACCTCTCCAGACAGACCAATGCCTTCTTCTGCTGTCCCATACTGTCCAGGAGGTCCATTTTGCAACCGTTCCAGGAGTTCCAACAAAGCAAAGTTCTTTTTCAGTCCCCAGACACCAGAATCTCCTATTTTTGATGAAGAGTTAAATGAAAGGGAAGAGGAAGAAAAATCTCAAGCACATATAATTTTGAGAAATTTCACAAACTACAGTTGAGATTCTGACAAACATTATGAGCACATCAACTACRTTAATATTAATGAAGTGAGACATAGCTAGCATTTTTTCTGCAAGCTCACTCCATCTTCTTCCTTCCTTCGATCATTGAACTCTCTAATATTTATGCAGATTTTCCCTATTTAAAAGATGCCAAGATTATTAAAAATTTACAGGAATTCAGTAAAAACACTTGTAAAATAATATGCAATAGCTAAGAATGAAAGCATACAAGGAACACACAAACACTATGTACCATAAAAATTAATATTTTTTAAGTACCTACTGCCAAATCTTATTCCCTGAATCACAAGATGCAACAGCTATTGCAGATCTCATTCCAGTAAAACCTAARTAAGAGTTAAGGCAATATTCAGAAAGAAAACCCAAGGCACTACACTACTTGATAAAAATTAAGACTCTTCATACTCCCTAGAGGAAAGCAGAAGTCCATGTCCATGGACTGTATGATCCTGATTTTGTAGAAKTTCATGTAAAGCAATGAGATGAGAAACAAAATCAGAACTGATCCCAAAAACTGCTGCTAAATGGTATCTGTATGGGCCACATGGCATATGAGAATCTTAGTGGTCGCTCCTTCAAGGAATTATCATYCCTTGATATTTTTTCAGCATAATTGACATGAATTTTACGACATTTTATCTGTTGCAAGGAAAAGGGGGCTCAAGCATCATCATTGAGCAGTGGGTCATTACCTTTTAGCCATAGCAAAATCACAAAATTGCTGAGGTTGAAAGGGACCCTTGGCATCACTTTGCCAATGTCAGCTAGAGCTGATTGCCTGAGACCACACCCAAGGCATCTTTTGAAGATCTCTTTTGGAGGGAGATTCTATCACCTCCCCGGGCAACCTGTGGTAGAGCTTAGTTACTCTTGCAGTCAAAATTGTTTCCTTATATGCAGACAAAACTTCTGTGTTTCAGTTTGTGCACACTGAACGTCAGCTATCTACGTGAACTCATGGAAACAATGTTCCCATGTTTTCCCAGAGAACCCAGATTACTTGAATTGTCCAGTTGTCCCATGTTGTTTCCTAGCTCCTAAATTATGCTACCCTGTGGCAGTCTGGTAGGAGTCTATGCCCTTCATCCTTCTGGAATTCAGTGTCATCTCACTGACCCTCTACAGACATTAAGTCTTCCTTCTTCAACATGAATGTCTACCAAACACTCCATAGATTTCTATGTATTGTTAGAGTGAAAGTGCAGTTCTAAATAAACATACAGACAACAACTACACAGTTATGAGAAATATCCAACTGGTAACCCTGCTGGATACCTCACTGCTTTATGTAGCTTCCAGTTCAACTACATGAAACTTTCTTTCCTCATCCATCTTCCTCACAGTTTAAACTATAGAACATAATAGTCTATTTTGAATTTGGCTACAGAGGAATTATGTGTCTCACAGATTAAAGGCAATAAATGGATGATACTGTTTTTCTACAGCTATAAATGGGAGCATTTTCTAACTATTTTATCCTCTAACACCCTCAATGGTTATAAAACAGTACTAATAACCTGTCTAAAAAAACATGCTTACCACTAAAGGCCATCCATTTGCTCCTTCCAGAAATGGGCCTATGAAAGCACTGGTTAGTAACTTTGAAGGCAGGTATAAAGCAAGGTGCTTTAAAGAGTCAGTGCTTTCAATGTCAGTCATCTCTGCAGTTATCAATTCCATGGTGGAAGCCGTCTCTGCTACAGAGAAGCATTGCATTGCCGACACCCAAATTAAGAACAGTACACTCCTCAAAATAAGTTGCAAACAAATAAAGTATTTTAACTTTTATTTGCCACAGATCTTGAAGGACTTTACAGAAGGTATGTTCTGTCCCTCCACAGTTACACTAAGCACCAGCAGAGTCTTCTGTCTTGAAACACTCAGACTCGAGAGTTTAGTAATTTTTTAGCTTGATCAGTTTTTAGCTTGATCTAGAAAGATCAGGCTTTTTCGTAACACAGAGCAAGGAAGAGTCACCTCCTATTACAACTTGAAGAAATACAGAGCACTATATCCACTTTTAGAATTTAATTTACATCAAAACAGTTTGTAAACAGAGTCTGGATTTGCTAAGTATGTATCTAGTTAGTCTAAGTCTCAGAAAACTAAGCACTGAGAAGTGGCTACATGGCTCACTTCTAGAGTGCTCAGAACAGCTCTTTCTCACAGCAAACTGACTGGGCACAACCTTCAGCTTTTACAGCATACCAAAATACTCACATTAAYACACACCAATATAATGACTGCTGAGAGTAACATGTACCTTCTAACATTTACCTTCACTAATCCAGATAGCCATTAACAGCCCAGTATAAATGGATGTATATGCACCAAAAGGGAAAACCTATTTAAGGAATAGATTATAACTCCTAGCCTGYAAGCAAACATTGTCTTAGCCTTTTTGCAAACACTTGGCTGAGCAAGGCTAGGTAAGGCTGAGAGAAGAAGAAGCTATTCAATCACTACAGAGTTTCTTACAAAAGTATTTTCTTCCATGGGTTTTAATGTTTATTTAAAAATAAACATTACTTATTTAAGAAGTACTCCTCTCAGTTTACAATCCTGTAACAGATTTTAATCATGTTAGCTCTGCTCCATGTCTAGCAGTAAAGAGAAAGTCAAAACAGAACTAATTTATTGAATTGTAGGCAACAAGATCAGAAAAGATAACTCTGTAGCTATGCTGTATTTATTTTCTCTTTTGTAACTCTAAGCTGTCTAAGTGCTCTTACATTTTTTTCTATTATGTATCATGAGACTTGCTAATACAAGTCTTGCTAATACTTGCTATTGCTAATACAATACTTGCTAATACTAGCAATTGTATAACATGTCCATTGTGGTCACAGATAGAAAAACAAGAGAAGCTTACGCACCAACTTTTAATCTACTAAAACAGAATTTATAACCAGCAAGCATCCTACAAAACACAGAACCCAGAACATGCTGAGTTGGAATGGACCCACAAGATTCACTGACTCCAGCTCCTAGCCCTGCACAGGGCCATTCRCAATAATTACACTGTGTGYCTGAGAGCATCCCCCAAATGCTTCCTGAACTCTGTCAGGCTGGTGTTGTGATCACTTCCCTGGGGAGCTGTTCCAGKGCCCAACCACCCTCTGGGTGAAGAACCTTTTCCTAATATCTCAATTAAAACTCCCCTGAACAAATTCAGGCCATTCCCATTACTGCTCACCGGAGMTAAGAGAGCATTKTCTGCCCCTCTTCTTCGCCTTACAAGGAAGTTGTAACTGCAGTGACATCTTCCCTTGGTCTCCTCTTCCCCAGACTGAACAGACCAAGTGACCTCAGCCACTCTTGGTATGGGCCTTCCTCTCAAGGCTCTTCACCATCCTCATGCCCTCCACTCTCTTATCATGTCCTTCTACTGTGGCACCCAAAACTGTCCCCAGCACCTGAGGTGAGGCCACCCCAGCCCAGAGCAGAGCGGGACAATCCCCTCCCTTGCCCGGCTGCTGATCCTGTGCCTGATCCCCCCAGGACATGGGTGACCCTCCTGGCTGCCAGGGCACTGCTGATTCATGTCCAACTTGCCATGGACCAGAACCCCCAGCTGCACAGTGCTGCTTTCCAGCCTCTCGCTCCCCAATCTGTCCATCCATCCTGCATTGCCCTGTCCAGATGCAGAACCCAGCATTTTCCCTCACTGTTGAATTTCATACGGTTGGTGACTGCCCAGTCCTCTCATTTGTCAAGGTCTCTCTGCAGGGCCTCCCTCCTGCCCTGGAGACAGGGAGTCAGTTCCTCCAATGTTGTATCCTCTGCAAATATGTGTAGTATCCCTYGCAGTCCTACACCCAAGTCATTTATGAAGATGTTGAAKAGCACAGGGCCAAGGABTGAGTCCTGTGGAACCCTCTTAGTGATGACACCCAGTCTGATGTCACCCCATCACTGTAACCCTTTGTGCCTGACCCGTGAGCCAGTKGCTCATCCATCTCAGGAYGTGTTAATCCAGCCGTGTGCTGGACATTTTGTCCAGAACGATGCTGTGAGAGACAGWATGGAAATCTTTACTGGAATCCAGAAAGCTCACATCAACTGACTTCCCCTGATCAGATAGGCAGGTAACCTTCTCTAAGGCATACATTCTCATACAAAAGTCATGTCTCATTTCACTGGTATCTATCACAAATATTATATARTTGCAAAAAAGGGACTTTGCTTCTTTTTACGGTAAATCTGCTATATAATTTTTATGTATTTGACCTATACATTCTCAATACAATTGATCAAATATTTATTTTGTATTTAAAATTGCTAAAAATGAGTTGTGTAGATACATCTATTTAATCTCTTGAACTTCAGCTCAAATTCTGCTTTGATCACAAAYGTAAGAGTCTAGTGATCTCATCCTTGTGCCTACAAAGGATGTTTGTTCCCATTACAAAAATCATTACACATTCTGACTGTCTTCTCAAAAGAACACGACAGGAATAGCAGGAAATGTGTCAGCCAGGAACGAGACAGTGACTGAGTGAAGACATTAAGACTGACTCCAGCTAACAATACAAATGTCAATTTCCAAAGCATGAAGCTTGATTGTAAATTATAAATAATRAAAGGGATAAAGGAACAATTTTTGTCTAAATATCTGAACAGATTTGAAAGAATGCTGTAACTGCATCTTCTTRCACAGTGTTTTTAAGTTTCATCTTGGCACTGAAACACTAGCAAAGGCATATGTAAATGTAAGCAACACCAATGAAATGGATTCCACGAAGGATGTCATCAGCTGCATATCTCTGTTGACCAAGTTTTAATGATAGAAAATAAATCCAGCTCTATAGTAATGGTAGGTAGAGAGAAACTCCAAAGTTGTATTGTAAGCACATCTTTCCTAAAAATTCCCTGGTCCACATATTCATTAAAAAAAGCCCCAGAACCCAACAGGTAAAAAAAAAAAAAAAAGCCATCCAACAAAAACCCCCACTAATCTTACACACAACGAGAGAAAGAAGCTTGCAATAAATTATTTGACTGTTCTCCCAAATATACATACTTTAAGAAAGAGGCTTTAAGAGGACCCTCTTTTTCTACAGACACTATTTACGGGATTTTCCTCCCATAAAAACKGTCTCAATCAACAACCTTCAGAACACATGATTTCAAAATTTCAAAAATCTAAAAAACTTTCTCACTGCATCCTCTTGGCTGAAAAATGCTAATCAAATTGAAGACAACAGTTCCACGTATCTTCAGTATGTACATATGCATTTAAAATTCTCCTTTAGAAGATGAATCACAGGCAAATTCATTAAAGAATTCTTAAAAAAAAAAACCCAATAAAAATCCTTGTTTTGTCTATTCTGCAATGCAGAATGYTTTGGGCAGGCTTTACTCCTGTCTGTTCATTATGAAATGTTTTCTCTTGTAACAGTGCCCCATGAACTATTAGAAAATTTTGCTAAGCATATAAACAACATTTCAATTTTTGGTTGAAGAACACGTATTTCCAAAAATCCTCATCTGCAAGGGTTACCTGGAAGGTGCAATCAAAAAGTATGTATTCTACTACCATCTTCACAAGCTGTTAAAATAAGTGGGGCAGTGTTCTTTATCCTCTCCAGAACTCAGCTCTGATAACACCCTTCGATGAGGGGCTATCACCGCTAATGGGCTATCCATGTCTCCTGGAAAGACTCATAGAATTACATGATCCCATTTTAAAATGCCCCACCCAGAGAGGAGGAACTGAACATTCCAACCTGCATAAAAACTAAGGCTCAGAACACAATAGACACTGGATTCCCTGAGGAGAAGAGCTCAAGAACCACCACTGGACTTCCAGAGATGGAMCAGACCTTTTCTTAGTATCACCACTTCCACAAGATCACATCCATTACTCCGGATGCAGCCGGAGACTGCAGCCACCATTTAACTGGACTGCTACCACCACCTTGATCAACAGGGKGGCAGGTTGTATTCTGACTTCTGTCAGTTTAAGCTGGTAGTTTTTGTATTATTGCCTTTATCTTAATTTTTCCTATTAAATTGTAGTTCTGACTTASAGTCTCTCACAACATATTTGCATGAGGTTAATTCCTCCACTGGTTTGCTTTCAAATTAGTGCAATGCTGATTCACAAARTACTTCTAACCATACCTTCACATACAGTTATATACAGAAAGAACAGTCTTGTAAATTTACACCGAGTCCACTTCCAAAAAAATAGAGTTACATYTATCCATACAGAGATTCCCAAGAATTTCTTTCAAAAAGTTCCCAAGAATACTTAGGAAATTTTGATGAATACAGCATTAAGCGCTTCAGTAGTAATAGCAAGGAAAAAAGAGTAACCACAGGTTAAATGACCAAATMAGAGTCTCCAACAAATCCACAGTCACTGATTAAGAAACTGGGTTCAACACAGGTAGCTTTATGTCCTAGCTTTACAGATTTTCTTTCAATAGATTTTTCTCTTGGCAGTGGTCCTATAATCAAGATTTCAATACTAAGCAGCTCTCTAAGACTAGAAAGCATAATTCCATTAAATTCATGAAAATGGCAGAACCACAACATGGAGAATATGGTGAATTTGGAGCTYGCTTTCTCACATATCCTCAAACGGAGGGGAGTGAACTATAAATAGTTCCCCTGGGTCCTGAGTTGTCCCCCCAAGCTCCTAAGCTCTAGAAAAARCAGAACTACAAGTGCAGAAAATTTAACCAACAGCAATAACTACTAGGTGATTAGAGCAAGGTAACAAATGCAGAGATGTCTCCAAAAGGATCCATGACAAGCTGCACTCCACAAAACATTCTGTTTTTACATATCAGAAACAGTTATATTTCTCAAGGTTGCTGGACATTGAAACACTAAAAGTGGCTATAACCTCCTCCCTGCCTCAGGTTTAATAATATTTCACTGCATTTCAGCAAAAGCTCCTCAGAAAGATAAAAAAAATCTGTAAATGTTTTTGTAAAGCTTCATTTTTGCCAAACATGAAACACACAGACAAACAAAAATAAAAGCTAGGATCCTTTCAGATGCCCAGGAAAAACCGCACAATAAAAACTAAAAATCAACAAGTTCCCCATCACAATAAAAAAAAGCAGTGGTCTTGGACAAAAATGTTTCATAACAGGACTGAGTGTTGTGCTCCAACATTCTCTCTTTTAAAAGCATAGTTCAAGAAATCTTGCGCAGCTGTACACTCACAGATAAGAAGTCAAACAAACCATTACTATTTTAACCACATCTACTAGATTGGCAGACATTCACAATGCTCATACTTTACCACCTCCCTCTGCCCAGAAAACAAGCCTCTCTTTCATACGAGACTGGTATTTCTTTTCCTGACTTCTATCTCCACAAAAACATCCTGCAGAGTTCCTTAATATTCCTTCCAGTTTGGTCTACAATCTAGCAGATTCTCATATTACAAAGTCAAACAAATTTGATACTTAAACATTTCTATCATGGTTTACCAGATTAGATATCCTTCTCTGAGGATTCTCCTCAATGTTTTATTTTTCCCCGGTGCTATTCAAAACTGCTGGAGCCAGCTCYATTAAAAAGTTCTTTTTGTTACAGATTTCTCTGATAACTTGTCTTTTCTATAACCCCATGTTAAAAAAGTAATTCTTACACTGAAGAAATTATATGCAAATCTCATCTTTTACCTAAAATAAACTTCCACTGAAAGAAAAAACCTTAATCTTATCCTTTCAAATACCCTGTGAGACATCCTTAGAGTAGGGGAATTCCTTTAATGGCCTACMACTACCAATTATTGCATATATAGAAGTAAGTAATGCTGTAAAAAACAGATTTGTTATTACTGATCCTTCCCTCTAGATCACTTCATCATGAATCCAGATATCCATCTGTCAGAAAAGTTATCGATTTAACTGCATGGGTTTAATGTTTAGGACAACAGGGAACAAGTATCATTAAGGAACCCCTAGACAGAAACATTAAATGGRGTAGCCCCTTTGTAAATATGGGTGTATAAAGACTTCAAGGTATAAAGTGTGCAAGACCAGGTTCAAGAAGATAAAGGCAAAATCTTTACTTTCTTTTCCTAACATACCCACTTTACTAGCGTTTAACAGTGTATGACCTTCTATGAATGAAAAGGAACACAGAACATTCGTTACTTGGAAATATAATTACTAAGTGGAGCACTAAGACTCAAACTATGTTTAGCATTTTCTTCCAGATATTCTTGATTGACAGTTGTCAAGAAAGTCAAACTTTCATTTTCTTACCTAGTTCAGTAACTTGTCGATCAAAAGGACAACGAACAGCTCTGCCGTGAAGGGGAAGCCGGGTAAGACAGTCATGGCAGACAGTATGACCACACAAAAGCAGCCGGGGAACTTTGTCCCCTTGCAAAGAGAATACATCTTCACAGACTCCACACTCAAGAACCTGTAAGTTAAAAAGATCATATTGGTTCTGAGCTAATTAAAAAGCAAAACTTCATGCAGTAAGCCATATGACAGTTTATTTTACAAAGGTCATGCAATCCCAACACATAAGCTAAGTCATTAATTTTGCTTTATGGACTCAAGTAACGATCATACGAAAGATTTTTTTAGAAGCAAATAAATAATTAGACACAAAGAGAACGTTTGAACTACTCGGCATCCTACCGGCTCACTACTAGTTCCTGCCCACTTCATTTAATACACTAAGACAAGACAAACCTACTGGTCAAGGGGCACAACCAGCAGAAACATCCTCCCAGGAAAAGGAAGCGGCGGACAAGATCCTAGCAGAGCAGAGGGGTGGTCGGTAGTTTCCCTCACAAATKATGCTGATAAAGAGGTCACTCACACCAAGTGAGCTACTTAACAAGCTACAAATGCAGCACCAAGCTAGTGGGAGCAAACTGCTGCGGGCCGCAGCATCTCAAACTACTAACGAAAAGCAAAATTGATGGTCATTTAAAAAGAAAGAAACCCAAAACTAAGACATAAGCTGGGCACCCCAGGGAACACCTCCTGCACCACAGGCCTCCGGCGCCCCATCCCCGCCCGGCACCGCCAGCCCCGCGACAGGAGCTGGGCCGAGCCGCTGCCTCACCTTTACCGCAGCGCCCACCGGGCCGCGACCGCCACCGCTGGGTCCGCGGCCGCCCTCCGGCCCGGCCCCAGCCTTGTTTACAGCCAGGGCCGCCATCTCGGGGAGGGCGGAGCGGACTGGCYCCGCAGGAACGAGCCGGGAGCCGCCGCCGCCGCCACCTCAGGCACCAACCCGGCGGGCGCAGGCGCCGCGCCGCAGAACTGCGAAATTACAGAACKGCAGAACTACGACTCCCATCGTGCCCCGCCGCGCTCCGGCAGGCGGAGGAGACGGCGCTGAGCCMGGGCCTCCCGCGGAGCCCTGGGGGTTGTAGTCCCGCCCGCCGCGCTGCAGCCTGGGATCGTCGTGCCACTGCCGCCGCAGTCAGCGCGGCTCCTCCCGGTCCGGCGGCCGTCCCGCGGGTGAAGGCCATGGACGTCAACCAGCCCAAGCAGGAGCATTTGCTGGCCCTGAAAGGTACCGACAGCGCGACCCGCCGGTTCCGGCCCACCCGGCCCTGATCCGGTGGTGAAAGAGCGTGTCTGATCCGCAGCCGAAGGTGTTTCTGCCCCTGGTTTAGAAGGAGGTGGAGCAGGCACGGCCCGGCTCTCGGGCCCCGCGGCGGGAGGTGCCAGAGGGCGTAAGGGAGCGGTGGGGGCTATTYTGGATGCTCCACACAACACAGGGTGTGCACCTGGCGTGAGGGGCTCAGCAGGGCTGCTTGGCTGCGTCAGTGCTTTGCACAAGCCTTAGCTAAAATTTGCTATCCTATTCCCCTGCTGGCTCGTTTGTTGTTTGTTTTCCAGGACGAGAAGGCACAATTTTAAACTGCATCGGGGAGGTTTAGGTTGTGCGTTAGGCGGGATTTCTTCACAGAAAGTGATTAGGCATTGGCATGGGCTGCCCAGGAAGGTGGTGGAGTCAATGTGTCGGAAAGTGTTAAAGGAAAGTCTGGACGTGGCACTTGGTGCCATGGTCTAGTTGTCAAGGTGGTGTTCGCCTTTGGATGGCTTTTGCCCTTTTCACCTCATACTTAGTGTTCCACTGCTAGGAGGCTTGCCTCCTTGATTCAGAAAACATGAGTAGTGAAAATACAGTTGTGTAAGTCACTTGCATGCCTCCAAAATTAATTTCAGAAATCAAGGGTGCCCTGTGAAGAATTTGATAATTTCTGAATCATAAATGCTGCTAGTTGTGTATGTGTGATAAAGAGTTGATTAAAATATCAACTTTGCAAGCATTCTCGACCAGTCAGGCTGCCCAGATGTAACTTCAGTGCCCRTCTAGTTTTAAAACTCTCCTGGACAAAGTTAACAATTGTGCCTGCATGTGGCAGTAAAATCTGTTAACCATAATTCAAAGCTCAACAAGCCCTTTTCAAATATGTGTACACAAACACAATAGAAATGAAAACCTGAGAACGTGAAACATCATCAGCTGACAAATGCATCTTCATAGTAATTAATTCAAAGCAAAAAKATTTATGGTGGTTCATTTTCCTTTTGTAAGAAACCAGTGCAATCCTTGGGCTTGCATTAAATTTGGTGCAGTGTCCAGACTGTAGATTTTGCAAAAGCAGTGGGGAAGGTGTGAAGATTTATTTGCATTGTGTCTGTATTAAACAAAACCTTGACAGCAGTCAAGGTCTTATTATTTTAATATCATTATGTATTACTRCTCTCCATCAGGGAACCTGAAATGATTGCAAATTTCTTGCAGGGGCAGGAGGAAGGGAGAGAAAGGTGGGAAATAGGAAAGCAACACAGTGCATTTTACTTATGCTGTGAAATAGTATTTGTAATTTTCCCTTCACGATGCCCCTGCATTTAATATAATGCTTGTATGAAAACATAAAGCCTTTCAGGACTTAATTTCTTAAACTTTTGGAATAACTAAAGTTATCTGTTCCTTAAGGATTAAAGCATAGTTGCATGTAGTGCTTGGAAGCTTTGAGGCTAAACCTGCATGTATAGTTCTGATACAAAATGGAAGCAGGCAGCTTTAATTTGCCTAGACCACTTCCCTTTTTACTTGAAAAACTACTGTATCAGTCAGTACTATTTCAGRAAGGATTTCTGGAACACATGTGTTTTCTAGTTGCTTTATGTGCTCTAGCTTAAAATACTGATACATAGGAGGAAAACGCTAAAAAAAATTGTCTGCTGAATCTGAGAAAATAGGTAGTAGTAAGTAAAATAATTAAAATAAATAAATTATTTCAATAAAATAATTAAATTTAAAAATTAAATAGGCAGTGCCATGTAATATACATCACAGTGATATAACAGGAATAGTGATGGATGGTATGAGATGATGACTGTAAAAGAATTCTCTTGGAAAGGGACTGTTTGAGTAACCAGTGTGCATGTAAATAATAATCAGTGTCCTGAAGTTACACTGGTAACAATGGGATACAGCCTAGATAAAACAGAACATTCTCTTATGTAGCTCATGTATTTTTACCACTTGTTTCTTTTTTGAAAAATATCCTAGCAATGTTTGCCTTAATATGGTAGTATCTTATTTTTTTAATAATACTTCTGCTTTAGGTCCTGTTTTCTACTGATCTTTGCATCATGGGGCAAGGAAATTCTTGTAAATAAGATGTCTCAGTCTAGATATGAGAATCGTAATCAAGAGACTGTTTTCCTAAGAATCACTGGATTCCTACTGTTCAAGCATGGAAGTGGTCTTGCACTATCGACCACATCAGAAAGATCTAATAAAACTGCAGAAATTTGCAGAAGCAGCAGTGAAGGAGTTTCCCATTCGTCARTTACCAAGATTTACACCCTGGTTTCCAAATGATTTACACAGACTTCCCCTCAAACCAAAAAAGCAGGCACCTGTTATTTCTTATGAGGAAGTAGAAGAATTGAAACAACTTTCTGCACCTTCAGAATATGTTACAGGATCTCCTGATTATGACTGCACAAAAAATCTCCTTGAGTTTCACTCTAGCATGAAAAATGGTCCGACTTTAATCCAAACACAGGCTGTTCACCAACCAATTAACTTGGACTATCAAGGAGAACCACCACCTAATGGAGAACAAAAATTGAAAAGGTCTTGGAGTGCCTCTCTCCCTAGCGCTAAACTCAAAGGAAAGATCCATCCTTTATCTCAAGAACTGCAAAATAATTTGGAAAGACTAAAATTGCATGCATTTTATAGAGCAAAGTGGACAATTGAACAGTCTGTTTGTAATAACCATAATTTGGAGGATATATGGATAAAATTGAACAGACTAATTAAACAGAATGAGTTGCCATCTTGCAATGCTACTATCCAAAGATCTGTGGGACAGATATGGATTTTCTGTGATATATTATACTGTGAATATGTTAGAAATATTCTTAGGGAAAAGCTAAATCTTACAGATAAAATGGATTTGTTTGTACATAAATATGGAACTATATTTAGTTTGTAACTTAAGATATAAATCAGTAATAAAATTTCTGTCTGAAATACTGGAGTTTTTAAGCAGTTTAGAATATATAGACTTTAGAACAACTGATGAACTAAGGTAATAAAATTACTTACATTACTTTGCTACAGTTTTCTAACCATGATGATACATTTCTTTAACTTAGTTCTGCCTCAGGACTTACAGTTCTGTAAAGATCAGTAAGTTTATGTTTGGCTAAGTACTGCATTTTATAGCTTTTCTCTACCTATGTGGTCTAAAGGAACAAAATGGAAGTAAAAATTCCAGATTTTTTCCACAGTTTGTAGTTATCTGTGTCAGATAATAAAACTTATGATTTCAATTAAACAAAGTGCATCCTCTCTCCTTTGTAATTAGGAGAAATAAAAATGTTTTTAAATGAGTTGCAATAATTGCTTTAACATCTGTAATTGACATTAAGACTTTCAAGATCTGATTATTTCCTGAAAGTAGTGTGTGAGTTTTTTTAAATGAAGGTATATCCTTCACATGAAATACAAACTTAATTTATGTGGCATGTATGCACTGTCCTAGTAATGTTAGCTGTGTTTTCGCAGCAATATTAATGATAGTTTCAGTGGAAGTTGTGGGCTGAAAAATAATGAGCAACTTGGTAATTGCTGGTTTATGCCTTTGGTAATAAGATTGTTTTTTCCTGATGCTTGTCTCTAATTATATTTGGGAACAAGAAACACTAGCTTTCAGTAAAAGTGAGGAAATCAAGAAATGAGACTTCTCTCTGAAACCTCTGTTGTCTCTGAGAATTTGAATGCCTTTTATGGTCATAAAAAGCTGAGTTCAGCATGACATTTTGTCTCCTGAAAGAATGAATGTTCCAAGGTCATGCTGTTCCTGCTCAACTGAGTGTTTGGAGGGTCAGTAGAGAAGTTAAACTGGGACCGRTATGACTGCAAGGGTATGCATTGGCACTCCTGCTGACTTTAGATGGTTTTGCTGTAGCTAGAGGTCAAGGTCTATAGCATCTGCAGAAGAGGAAAAAACGACTGTTTAGTATTTGAAGATTGTTAGATTGTCATTAATCCCGGTCACATCAAAGTGCACATAAGTGTAACAGAGATCACTGTGTATAAACTAAGTAAATCCCCTTAGACTTACATTTTTAATGRCATCCTTATATTGAATGATTATATTTTATTAACGGCTTTACATTTGGGGTTTTTTTAAGATTCAAATCGCTCCATTTGAGTCATTGACATGTAATTTTAAACTTTGACTGGATTTTAAGACATTTATAAATGTCTTTTATTGATGTTTGGAGTGTTTGTGACATTTAATATGCCACTTAGCAAAATTGATGCAAAATGCTGTCTAGAGTGACTGAGGGTTTTAATTAGTTTTAAAGCTTATATAGCAAAGTTATTACACTGACATTATATTTCTGATCATAATACTAATAGTAACAAAATTTCTTCGTGCATCAGCATTTGAAGATAAAATGGAGTAAAATATGATGTGATTTGAGTTCTATTTAATTTATTTTGTGACTAGGATCTTAGAAGAAAAAAAACCGAGACAGTATATTTTCTAGCATTATTTTAGTGGTCCTAATAAAGATGATAATCTACTTATCATAGTTTGTTGTGACTTAATTCTGGGATGTCTTTATTTTTTGAAACATTACTTAACTCTTTCTTTAGAAACAGTTAGCAAGTACTAGTTTATATGGGCTTAGTGTGAATTGGAATAAAATTAGGTAATGCCAATAATACTATAATTAATTTGATATACTGACAAAAGAGCTAAACAAATATTGTACTAAACAGGAGGAGAGATTGCTGTCACTGTAGCTGCCAGCTTTTTGCTGTGTTTGGTTGGCTTCTATGTGAATAATGATAGATGATGCACTGCAACTGTGAGCACCTCAGCTCATAACTGTCACGTTGTAAAGAGTGAGCACCACCTTTGGTTGCTCTGCAGAATTACTATAGTCTTGACTAGCACTATGTATAAGCTGAAATGCAGTTTTTAATTATATTCTGTTCAACGAATGCTTCTTTCATATGCATATGTTATTGAGTATCTTTTTCATTTTCAATCTTGAACGTGATTTGCTATTTACTCTATTTTGTATATCWTGGGTTTTGTTTAATATAGTTCATGGTTCTAAGTTTTCAAAGGTTCTATTTTTCAACTTTTACCATAACAAAGAGAACATATTACCTTTTTTTTTTAATGTGGAAAATATGATAGTGTAAGTTGTTGTGAGCCAATACAGCCACTGTGCCTAGATGTATATCAAAGTAATTGAATACTTTACACCACTGGAAACAGTGAATGCTGTCTGAACACATGAGCTGCACCAAAACACAATAAAAATAAACCCACCATGCGTGTGTCAAKGCAAGAGTATTGATTAACTTGTTGCAGGCAGGAGAAATCCTTTTGGTTTATTTTTTAGTTTTAGTTGGTTTTATATTTGTTAAGATTCAAAGAGATAAAACACAACAGATTTTACATATTCAGATTAACACCTGAGATTACAAATGCCTAATTTTCTTTTATATGAATGCCTTYGTGATAAGCTATATACAGGTTTAGGGGCTTGGGTTAATTTGAAGCAGAAAAATTATTTTAAGAAGTAACATCTTAAATCTGTCATATAAGTAAAAATAATTTTGCATGTGAGTTAAAATAGCCTTTGAAAATACTGCTTTCTTGAAGTATGGTTTTCTAATAGCAAAATCTCAATTATTTTGATTTTGTCAGTATCAATAAAATAGTTTTAAGTATATTCCTGAGGTTTTTGTAATGGTTTGAGTTTGTGACATAGAGAAAAAGCACTGGTATAAATAATGTGTGCTTTTAGTCTTGAAACTCTACCTTGTTAGGTTGATATGTAAATGCAATTTGTTATAGACTGGTGTTTGACTGAAAGGGTCTGTACAAGTCATCATGTCCCATTCTAGAACAAGGATCACAGGACAGGCACTTAACCTGGAAAAGTCCACTAGCAGATAAAACTGGTACACTTCTGAAGACCACAAAGCACTTAATCCTGTAGCAGATGTAAGACCTTTAGCAGATCAGATTGAAAACAGTAGATTAGTAGGTTAGTCCACTAGGGGAAGAAAACAAGAGGGAGCAATGCCATTRTCAGTGTCTTGGATAGCAGAATAGCAAGGAGGTTTTTTTTTAATACTGTGAAAGGCCATGTGATGATCCCTTTTCAGGCTTATGGTTGTGGTTTTTTGGGGTTTTTTTGGTGGAAGGTGAGGAAGGCCAAGTTATACTTGAAAAAAAAGTTCCAAATACTTGTTTTATTGACCTATGTTTGTTTTTTTTTTATTTTTTGCAGTGATGAGGCTAACCAAACCCACCTTATTCACTAATATTCCGGTGACTTGTGAAGAAAGAGATTTGCCAGGTAAATTTTCTACTGGCTGATTATTATGTATGTATTACCAAGTTTAAGTGGTGTGACTATCTAACACTTAGAGGAATCTTAWGACCTCCCATAGACTGAAATCTGAAACAGCAGTATATTTGAGATTTGAGGTAATAGCTAAAGGAAAGTATACCAAGGTGCACCCTATAGCTCTTGACCTACAGTTCTGAAAGATTGTATGACCTCAAACATATGACCTCAAAGTCTGAGAAATTGGCACACACAGTCAGAGATAGTTCTGTTAGAGAAATATGTGAGAAAGATTTGCATTCTCCAGTATTTTTTTTTATCTGGAGAAAAGGCCCTGATAATTAGAACCAACACATGAATGCTCTATGGAAAATCAACCTTGCAACTGGTTTTGAGTTGTGGTATGCTTGGTCTGCTATCATAAAGTGGAAATCCCTGGGTTGTCTCCCAGAAATAGTTGAAGTCTAGAAGTCAAGTATAAGAAAGTCAAAAGAAAGGTTCAAGGAGGTTGTCTGGAAATACAAAGCAAGCAGGGGAAGAAAGTAAGTAAGGTTTATTAGTTCGTTATGTAATGTGGTTTAGGTGGAGAGAATTCTTCTTAAAGTTCAGTGTAAATGTGACAATGCGTTTGGGATTGTGCCCTTCAGTGTGCATATACTGAATTAATTATTGGACACTAGTGCCTGGAAGTTAAATTATAACATACATAAAGGCAGGCCTATGGATATGTATTTKATCCCTATGCAAGTTTATTATAGAAGAATTATATCTAAAATAAACTACGTGTAGGTAAGGGACTGCATAACTTAAATGTAGACAAACCTTTAGACTTGGCAAATATTTAATACTTGGTATTTTTACAGGTAATCTATTTAACCAGCTCATGAAAGATGATCCTTCTACTGTAAAGGGTGCAGAAACTTTGATGTTAGGAGAAATGCTGACTTTGCCTCAAAATTTTGGGTAAGAATGAATGATTATAACTGTAATRTGCAAGATTTAGAATTCAATTGGTTTAGGATTCATAGTTCTCTTTCTCTTTGAATACCATTGTTCTGCAACAAGATGTTCAGTCATTTTAAAAATATGTGGCTTGATGTATATGTGTGTGTGTATGTATATACGCTGCCTGATGTTTATTGTGTGTAGCCTGACTGAACCTAATCAGCATTGAAAGTTGAAAGAGATTGGCAGCTGTAGGTGAATTTCAAGGTAATGCACTACTGCAGATCACATCTTGTGTTTACAGAGTTTACTACCATGGTTTTTGTGGATACTGGAAGCCATCTTCTTATTCCTCTCAAATTTTTAGCTAGAAGAAATTCTGAGTTGTTAGTTCTTTTTCAAAGCTGCTTGTTTTAGAAGGATGGCTTCAGAAGTATGGGTGTACAAATGCCAATATTCTTCTTGGATTTGATCTGGCAAACATGTATGTGTGTGAACTTCAAAGTGTTTCAGTAAAATGTCCTTTTTTTWAGTAACTGTTACTAAAAATATTTTGTTTTCTTTTATTTCCCCCTGAAATACAGAAATATATTTCTGGGAGAGACATTTTCCAGTTATATTAGTGTGCACAATGATAGCAATCAAGTTGTCAAGGACATATTGGTGAAGGTATGTGCAGAGAAATCGGCTTACTGGATTTATGGGAAAAAAAACCCAAAAACTAATGATTGTGTTTTCTGACAATATGTTGTATATTTAATGCTAATACATAGACTTTAGGAAATGTCACTTCTTCCAATCCAGAAAATATGCCTGGAAATGGGAAAGAGTAAGACATAAAAACAGATATTATTATAGAACTTTTCAAAGATTAAAATTAAAAACTAGGRTTATATTAAAAATGGATTTATTAAAGAATCATTACAGAGTTTTGATTGGAAAAAACCTCTAAGATCAACAAGTTCGATTGGAAACACAACACTGCCAAGTGCACTGCTGAACCATAAACATCGTTTATGTGGCACATAGAAGTGCCACATTACACAGTCCCCTGCAGGGATGGTGACCCAACCACTTCCCTAGACAGCCTGTTCAATGCTTGACAGCCATTTGGGTGAAGAAATTGTTCCTGCTATCCAGTCTAAACTTCCCTGGTGCAACGTGAGGCCATTTCCTCTCATTCCTTGCAGGAAGAGAYTGACCCCTATCTGGCTACAACCTCTTTTCATGTAGTTGTAGAGAGCAGTAAAGTCCCTCTCCTGAGCCTTTTTCTGCAAGCTAAACAGCCCCAGCTCCAGTGACCTTCTCTGGACGTGCACTTTTCTGTTTAAAWCTTCTCTGCAGAACCAGTGTAGCAAAACATCCACAGCAAAAAAAAAATGGAGTTATATTCACTTATCTTCACTTTCAAGCAATTCTTCCAAGCAAGGTCTTCCAAGCAATTTCCTGTAAAGTGCACACTGATCTGCATACCATATGAGTTATTTTCTAGTGAATTAGTTTTTTGCATTTACTGCTGAACAAGTAAAACACTGACAGCAGAAATTCCAGAAGTCATTGTGGAACTCAATGTAAAAAGTAAAGAGAGATTTTGTATGCTGCATGTTAAAGGACTGGACCATTTGTATGTTTTCAAACTTGTCTTTTTATTTGTAAGTGTCTCATCATCTTAACGTATGTCACTGAAGGTGTGTGAATCAAGGATATAACAGAACATTCTGAGTTGGAAAGGACCCACAAGGATTAATAAGTCCAACTCTTAAGTCAGTAGCCCACATGGGGATTGAACCCTCAGCCTTGGTATTGTGAGCCCCCATGTTCTGACCAAATGGGCTCTTCCAATAGGTATGAAAGCATGTAGGGTACAAAGTGCTCAGTGAAACTTGGTACTTTATAACTTAAGTTACTTCTCTTTAGATTGTGTTAAATATCYGCAATTTTAACCAGTGCTTTGTTTTTCTGTCTCCAGGCTGATCTTCAGACAAGCTCTCAGCGCTTGAACCTTTCAGCCTCCAGTGCTGCAGTGGCAGAACTGAAACCTGACTGTTGCATTGATGATGTGATCCATCATGAAGTAAAGGAGATAGGAACCCACATGTAAAATTTTAGATTTTTCTATTATTAAATGAGCTTAAATGAAACTGCAGTACATGCATGCTGTTCTGCTTTTGATATAGCATAAAATTTGGAGTGACTCAACTTTTTTTTTTTTTAATTGGGATTTTTTTCAGCTTAGTTTGTGCAGTAAGTTATACTACACAGACTGGAGAGAAGATGTACTTCAGAAAGTTCTTCAAATTTCAGGTATTTCATGAAATATTTTGCTGTACTTTTAATAAGTGTGTGCATCTGGAAAATCCATTTAAAAACATTTGATACTTCAAAAGCCCATACCAAAAATCTGTTTATTTTCAAAAGTGAACCATTAAAAGCCACTGCTTCAAACTTCACAGAAACTGGTAGTTTCAAATTACTACACAGTTAAACATCTCAGAACTAGTAAATATTACCTTTTATAATTTTTACTAATTTATTGAGACATAAATCTGCTCCTAATAAATCTACTCTTTATAGCAGACAGCTTTATGACTACTTTTGGGCTAGTCATTCAGACTTTGATACATCTAACCATTGAGCTTATATTGTAAAATTCTGATTTTTCTCTTAGTGTTTATAACCTTTTCTAAACTGGAAAGTTGGGTTTATAAAGAAGTTTAAGTAAAGAAATCTAGTGTATTGTATCTAATACCACAGATGTAATTAGAGTTAAAAGAGTTTAAACCTTTTGTTCCATCACACAGATTTCAAGATGTGAGATAATAGTAACTGATGAAAGCAGGAAATTAATCTGTGGACTGGTTCTGGCAAGAAAGGCTCTGTTTACTGCATATTTAATGGAAGTTTAGAGAAATATATAGAGACTTGGGTAATGGTGGACTCTTCCTTGTGGAATGGAGAATTACATGACATGCTTTGCTGAATGCATTTTTAGATACTCTCACAGAGTGTCTGGTAATACAGGAGCATTATATAGTTTTGTCCTAAAGCTGTGTCAGGGRAGCTTTAGGTTGGTTGTCAGGAATAAGGTTCTACACCCAGAGGGTGGTTGGGCACTGGAACAGGCTCCCCAGGGAAGTGGTCACAGCACCAGCCTGACAGAGCTCAAGAAGCATTTGGACAATRCTCTTATTGTGCATATTCCTGGACKTGATGGTCCTTGTGCATATCTTCCCACTCAGGGTATTCTGTGGGGCAGTCGTATTTTACTGTTGTCTAGTATTCTGTCTAGATATTTCAAAAAAAAGAAATTCAGTATTTAGAAGTTTGAAGAACACTTTTTTAGTATTTATGGGCCTTGAAATGCCAGGTCGAAGGTATTTCCTGATAATCCTAAGGAAAATGGTTTCATATAAACTTTCGTGTCACCCTGCCTCCTGAAACTAGCATATCTGCAGTTTCTTCATCTTTAGCGAAGTTAATTTTCATCTTTGTGTGCTTTGTGTTGCTCTCCTTCTGAAACCATTTCTCTTTCCATTTCTCCATTCTTTTCCTCTCCTCAGTGTTCTCTTACCTCAGTTTCTCTTACCCCTCTAGGGTTTCTCTGATTCCTTATGCATACATGTGCAAGCTTCAGATCTCATCTTCTCTGTGTCCTCTAATGTTGTTCTTGTCAGAGCTTTGTACAAGAAATTGATTCATCTCGTTTAGATTTTGTAGGCAAACTTGCGCATACTTTTTTAGGGCTCTGCATGCATGGTAATTGCCATGGTTTTTAACTGAACCCAGCACAGGCAACTGAATTGTCAAAATAATTGAGGCCACCTATCTGTCAAATGTGAAGCTCTTCATTTGAAGAAGGAAGAGAAAGAGCTTCGCAGATTCTACACCTTCTATAAATACTCTCTGATTCATTATGGGAAAAGCATTGCACTGCGAATTTTGACTGTTATTTTAAAATTTGACATGGAAGATACCAGTAGAAAATCTGAGTACAAACAAAAAGAAGTGTTACAGAAAACTGAACCATGTCCTTACAGTGGGAATTGATGGCTGCTAGTGATTATGTCACCAGTTATTTTATAACAAAGAAAAAGTACTCTTTGACAGATTCTTAGATTTTTCAATTACATTTTCCAGCCAACCAACTATTGGCTGGCTTTAATCAACTTCTTTTTTAAACCATTACATGTAGTTTTATACTGAAAGATAGTGCCTTTCTGTTCCAAAGTTTTCTGTAAGTACTTAACAGCATTATGTTTAAATGGAGAAGGAATGATGCTTTCTAGGGTTTGGTTGTTGTATTGTTTTGGGGGGTGTGGTTTGTGAACCTCACAATAATTTTTTATATTTTACTGGAATGCCAGTTGAAATTTACTACAATGAATGGAAATACTTTGTTTATCAGAAGAGAGAATAAAATCAATATGTAGGAAAATTTATAAGAAGCTCACTGAAGAAAAATGTATTTGGCAGAAAAAATAATCTCTCAACCAACAAAGACCCAAATTAAAATTTTTAAATTTTTTCCTCCGACAAGAGAGAGAGATCGTTATGAATACGGGAAAGATTTGAATTTTATGCCTGTTGAAATGCAGACATCTCTGTGAAGACAACATTTTGATCTTGAATTCTTCAGTGCTAAAAAGTTTGCTGACAACTTAGAGAACATTAGAGGTCTCTCAGGATGCTGTGCACTTACATGCAAACAAAAAAAGTTTCACTGTGTAAAAGAAAACAAGTGTCTTCAGAAATGGAATTTGAATTTGTTTGCTTACAAGTATAATACAAGATTATTTCTTCCAGCTACATCACATTAGATACATTTCATATTTGGAGGTGTTAACTGCAGTGGCTTTATGCACAAAATTCAAGCACTTAAGGRCAAACACTTTATAAGCATCAGTCATCATAATTGTGCTGATTAAATYTTGTGAGATTAATATGATTTATTATTTATTTATTTTATTTATTATGCTTTTCTTGAAACAGCTGTATTTTTAAGCAGGAAATGAAGGCTAATAATGATTTGTTGTTAAAGCTAAACACATGGATAGTTCTGTTTCATTGATGTTTAGAGAAGCCCTGAGTAACTTTTGCTGCAGAATTCTGAAGGATGTATAAATATTATATAGTTCTTGCTCACAGCTGAAAGCAARTGTAGACCACTGCAGAACCCAGGATGAATATATTGTTATTTAAAGACACATTTCTACTTAGAGCTGTGAATTTGTGTGCTTTTGTAAGAGGCAAGTACTAAGGTGAGAATTTCTGGTTTTTATTATGAGGAAACTGCTTAGTAGGAAAGCAGTCAAGTGGGCACAAGTAAGAAGCARTGAGGATATACTCTTGAGTTGATTCTGACGTGTATTCTGTCATGCATYTGCTGTGTGATCAAAGAAAACACAACCATTTATTAGTAAAAGTACTTCAGAATGGTGTGCCAAGGTGGTCTAAAAAAAAACCTAATTGCCAATCTGTCTTTTTTTCCATTTCAATCAGGTTCTTAAACCACTAGATGTGAAAACCAAATTCTACAATGCGGAGGTGAGAAAACCTGTGTGTATTCAGGTTTATTTTGGCATGCTGGGTTTATTACTTAGATTAAATTCATAGTGCTTTGTAAGTACAACTTTCTGAGAAAAGGTGATCAGTTCTGAAGGGAAAAATGGTGGTAGATATGTATTGTTTCGTTTAGAAATAGATAGGCTTTTGATGAAGGAGCGAAAGAAATGTCCAGACCTTAAGGTAATTGACAAACAATTTTGCATATTTTGCAGTTTACCAGGAACTCAGATACTTTCAGAAATTGCTTGTATATTTAGGCTGGTAGAATACTTGCTGTAAGGGAGATTAATTGTTCATAAAGGAGATGATAATTTATCAGAGGGAAGCAAATTTAAATTTAAATTATTTAAATTTAAATTTCCCCTATGTAACTGTGACCTTTTAGTTCAATAATTTAAGGTTTAGGTTTGTGACATTATACACAATGCTTCAAAACAAAATGACCTTACTATACTATGCATATTTATTTAGACATACTTAGATGTCTGTCTTCAGCTATGCATGGGAAGAATTTGGTACATATGTGTAGGCCACAGGCTTTAGACTGTACATTGACCAGGTGTGAGGTATCTGAGCAGGTATCTGGAGCATAAACACATAGCACTGCTTGAGTTCTTTATGGAACTGCTATTATCTGTAAGTGGGAATGTCTGGAAATGTCTTCTGCTATGATTAGAACAAAAAATAATTCTAAGAAATGAGTGTGAGCAAAATAATTCTAAGAAATAATTGTGAGCAAAATAAATCTCTTTATTTAGTGCGTGGTTTATATTATTTCTTCAGATACAAAGTATGTGGTAGGGAAAAGGGGAACAGGTATCTCTTATGTTGCTGTCTCCTTATAGTTCATGTGTAAATTTTGTGATGAAACACTATAATTAATGGTAATTAAAACCTCTGTAAGATAAATTCTATGCACACTTTTTACATGGATAAAAACTACTTTTTTTTCAAAATTATTAWAGTGACTGGTCTTCGTAAGGGTCTTAATTAACTCTCAATTAGCCACCAATTCTTCATGGTAAAAATGTATGAGAAGTTTCGGTGTTTGAGCTGTTACATGTGGTTTTGGGTATTTTTTCTTTTTTTTTTTTCCTATGTAGAGTTTTTAAAAGACTCTTTGATGCCTTTTGTTCTTCCTGCTCATGAATTTATGCAACGGCCATTACCATCTTACTTAYTCAATTGATAGAAACAATTTTTTTTTAAATATTTTGGATTCTGTTAAATGAGCAAACTGGTATAGTAGCTCTCCTTCATAATTTCTGACAGTATATAAAGTGTTGCTATGTCTTGGGACCATAGAATTCAACTAAATTTTAAAAACATAGAAGTAAGTCTTTGGTTAGATGTGTGTGATATTACATTGTGGTGAAAGCACCAAGAAATTCATCCTGACTATTATCCTTGGGAGCAGGGGAGAAAAAAATGGTATGTGTCAGTTATGAGTTAACTAAAGGTTTACTAACCAGTTCARCTGTTGTCATTAATATTATGGATGTGATGCTGTCTATTAATAATACCTGTTACTAAAATTGTTTTCTATTAATATTCTAATGATTATCCATGATTTAATTTCTTCTAAGACAAGGAATGATGCTGAACCTTAATCTTCTTCCTTATTGCTTATATTGCAATAGCACCCAAATGGAGTTGATCACTGAAATTTATGCATAGAACAGATTCCTTATTGCCCTAAACTGCAATTTGAATTACTCTCTCACTGACTTCAATGTGCCTTGGAAAAGGCTCTGTAAAAGGTTCTATTCCTGCAAGCATGCACAGGGAGGCAGASAAGTTTGCAAATAAATCTGGGTCTTTGTACTGATGGATATTCAAAAATGAGTTTTCCTTATATTATGCTAGATTTTGTTATAATTTGCAACATGGTAGCTTTGCCAGGATACATTACCACATTATTTTTGAGACATTATATATGTGGATACTTAAATTATCTGTAAGATGATAAGAACTGTTTTTCCATTTTATATACAACCCATTGCATGGATTAAAATTCAGGACAAGCTCTAAACTTGCTCAAAACCTCTTTTTTGAGTGAGTTTATTCTACCATATCTTGTCTGTGATTTGTGTGCCCTGAGCTCTACTTTGGATTGGTTCTGAAGCAAAGCTAGTAAACCATGTAACCATACTAGCTGTAAGTTATTAGAAATGTAGTTGTCATCTTTGTTTGCATCCATTTTTATTTATGTTTCTGTCTTACTAATGCTATCTTGTTTAAATGGTGCAAAAAAATGCAGAAATGCATTTTGTTTGGTAGTTAGCCTCCTTTTTCTTTAACATTTAACCCTAATTTCTCTAATGTGTTCTTTTTTTTATTTTCCCATTAGAGTGACCTCAGTTCTGTGGTAATTTTTATTTATTTTTTTATAAATATGTATGCTTTTTTAATTGCTTAACTGTCTCTGTGCTTGTTATTGACATTCTTTTACAAACATAATGGAAAAGCAATGTTTGTTCTGCATATCATAAACAGATTTTTCTCATCTTTGTGTGTGCACCTAATCAGTAAATGGTTAGCTCTTTCTTTAATACCCATTGTTGAAACTAGAACTTGACAGTTACTGATTCTTGCTTGTGGGGGTTCTCCTATAAAATACCTCACCAAAATTTTATTAATTCATTTTTTGAAAACAAGTTATTTCCTTTTAAAATTTTTCTGCTTTTGACCCATGGARATGTAGGTTTTACTACAGCACTGCTTATGTAAGATGTGACTTTTTCAAATCTGGTTGGTGGAGACAGTGGGTTTGAGGAGAGAGCAGCAGCTGGATGTTCTTCCTTCTTTTGGYTAGATGGAACTGCACTTCACAATTTTAACTGCATGTAACAGTTGATTGAATTACTATGTTACTTTTGCAGTCGGGTTTCACTTTAAGGTGTGCCTTGTATTAAAACAAACTGCATATTTTGAAACTTCTTTTAAAACCATGTGATATTAAACCAAATCAGGAATAACACAAAACTAACTTGCTTTTTCATTATGCTGCTTGTTTCTTCTTTTCCCTTTCAAATTAGCTTTTTTAAATTTCTGCCTATGGTTGCTGCTTTGAAAACTACTAAAATATGGGTAAATGGACACTTTGAGCAATGGATTTATGGGATATAAATAGTATCAATTTAAGTGACAGTCAGGTGGTAGTAGTAATTACTGAGAACCATGTTTTAATTATGGTTATTTCCAGTTCCTGCAAGCATGAGGTATCTCTAACCTATTGAGGTTGCTCAGTTTTCATTAMTATATATGTGCTGCCTTGTGCTTAATGTGTTTATAAGGCAGTAYAGAGAGCTACACAACAATTCTGTATTTCTCCTTCTAACACTATTTTTTGAAGTAAACAGATTTTGGCTATTTTGTCCCACTTTTATTTTGTAATTTACAAGCAGGACTCCATTTGTATAAAGAATAATTTATTTAGACTGCTTAAAAAGAAACTGTAAGTTTCCTTCCACCCTCCCAAAGTACAGAAGTACTTTCTTGAAATTTATCATAAGAAAATACTTAAACTGCTTCCATCTGAATCTGTAGAATAGACTATTTCAATTGGAAGGGACCTACAGGAATCATTTAGTCCAATGGCCTGAAGCAGTGAATGCAAATTTGGTACACAGGCCTCTCCCCACACACACATTTCTTAATTGGCACTTTAAGTTGGGTTTTCACTTTTTTGGGGGCTCATATCTCTAATAGACTGAGCCTTCCATAATGCTATCCTGAGATTTTTAGAGATGCAAAGTGACTTCACTGGTCTGCAATTCCACAAAAGAAGTTGATGCAAAAGCATCTCTAGTTCTGTGGTTTTTCACCTTCTAAAGTTTAAGTCTATAGCTTTCATGACTGTACTAGAATTGGTCCTTCAATACCATCTTGAGACATTTGCTTCAGATGTTCTTCAGAACACCAGTAGAGCACCAGTTAAGTTGTTTGGATGCCTACAATATTGGTAACTTTTGGCATGATGCAGCTGAGTGAGARCGGGGGCTGGATTTTGGATTTTAGCTAGAATGCTAATATTTTTAATAATAAAATCTCAGAGCATGTACCTGAACTATTTTACCTCAAAGAAAAACACACATTTTAATTTTTTTATGCAGCTTGATGCACTAGTAATCTGGCATGGCATGTTATTGTGCACTGCAATTCCTTACCATATATTCTCTTTTTTAAATGATTTGGATAAAAGCTTGAGTTGCTATTAACTTGATGAAAGTCTTAGGAAGAGGTGATTTGATGTATTACAAATGAGCAATAGCTAGAACATAGAAAATTATCCCACATCCATTGTTTGGCAAGATACCTGTTGACTAACACTTTTGCTCCTGTTGTTACTGGGATTAAGGTTTTTTTCTTGCRTTAATTAATTTGATTTTCAGGCATGAACTAAACGTGTGACCTTTTTTTAACAATAGGACTTGCATATTCGTTTAAATAACACTAATCACATTTTCATGAAATTGCACTTTTGATTCTTTTACAGACAGATGAAGTGTTTCTGGAAGCTCAGATTCAGAACATCACTACCTCTCCAATGTTTATGGAGAAGGTTTCTTTAGAGCCATCTATGATGTACAATGTTGCAGAACTGAACACAGTTGACACAGCAGGGGAAAGGTATGTTCAGATTCAGGATATTTCACTTTTAAACTCTTTGTATTAGGATTTAATGAGATTTAAGTATTAGTTAGTCAGGTGTGTGTTATGGGAGGATTRTACATCTTCACTTCAGTAAAAAGACCGAATTCCTATCATGTATTCAAATGGAAAACTTATTACAGTTTTCATTTTATGTAAACTATTTAAAATCTATAATTCTACCTCATAGAGAAATCTCCAGCTAAATTCTCAAATAATTTGTAATAATGATGAAATGGGAACACAAAAACAAACACACTATGTGTTCAGTATATATAAAATTTATGCAAAATTTATATAAAATTTAACCCAGATCTGGTTTTGATCAGATCTCTGTGTATATACTTAGTCTTACAGGACCCATCTGAAAATCCTTGCTTCCTATCAGTAAACTGGTAATTGTTTTCTCTAAACTGGTAATTATTCTGATCRTGATCTAGAGGGCAGCAGTCAGGGTGGTAAACCCATACAGGGTCTTAGAATATAACAATTTGTCATRCTAAAATAAATTAAATTTCATATAGTTAAACACCTAATACCAGAGTAACTGACTACTGTGAGTACAAGAGCTTGTGAAGTTTGGCTGTTTGTGCTTTGCAGTTGCTTGGGTTTTTGGAGGTGATGTTTGAGTGCTTCAGCAGTAGGGGCTGAAGTGAAAATTCTCCATGCTTGTTGAAGGATTCACCTGCAGCATAATGAAGGATTGTTCTTACAAAGTGTTTGTATCCACTGTAGTATTTTTTTCTCCTGAAAGGAATCTTAGCTTCATGACATTGAGATTTACTGCRAGGGAAAACAAATAGCAGAAGACCAATTACCAGCATTTTTGTTTAAATGCTAAGATGCCAGATAATAAACTATAATGTAGCAGAGAGGATTTCTGTCTCACTTCTCTCTGGCTGAGAAGAACAGGCTTTCTTATTTCTCCATGGTCCCTGGTGCTGCATAAATTATAGACTTGTTTTCTGTTGTGAAAACAGAAAATATTTTATGGTTTTACCATTAATAACCTATGCATACACACACGGTAAGACTAGTGGGAGATGGGGAAAAAAGGYTGGGTTCTTAAGTCTTCTTCTAAATAAATTAACACCCAGTGGTTTTTTTCCCTTTAGTGAGTCTACTTTTGGTGCAAGGACTTACTTACAGCCTATGGATACACGTCAGTACTTATACTGTCTAAAACCAAAGCAAGAATTTGCAGAGAAAGCTGGAGTAATCAAAGGTGTAACAGTGATTGGTAAACTAGACATTGTATGGAAAACTAACCTGGGTGAACGAGGAAGGCTGCAAACTAGCCAACTCCAAAGAATGGTAAGTCTGACTTAACTTAAAATTTTACCTTGGCATTCATGTTCAAGGAAACTCAATGAACAATTTCATTATGTTTTGGAAAAGGGCGAGCTGCTTACTTTCTGAGCCTCATTTTCTATTCACACCTTTCTCTACATGTTAGTTATTTCCTATATTTCTTCCGTGAAATGTGGGTATGTTAATGGATTTAGCACTTTAATTACCAGCATCAAGTAACTAGTGTTACAAAATACATCTGTTMGAATAAATTAACTGCTTGGATATCACTTGGCAACAAACTGACTAAAGAATTCCTTTAAATATGCCAAGTCTTGACATGGAAGTTGCTCCCAAGTTCATATAGACGTTTTAGCTTGGAATAACATTTTTTAGTGCATAATACTATTTAACTTTTGTGTCTATAGTTTTGATTGAGTCTGTCTTATTCTGGTTGGTTTATAAATTGTTCTTGCATTTTAAGTTGTAATTTCTAGTTTGCTTAAGTCAACTGCAGTTACACTCTAACACCTAAACCTGACTTGAATCTTCCCACTTGAGGATGGTCAGAGAGATATGGAAGAGTAGTTAAAATAAGCTTTGACAATCGAATCTCAGTCTGAGTTTACAAAGCTTATAGTTGGGTCTTGGCCTCTGTCTTTCCCCCAGTCCCCATCTTCTAGTACATAGAGCAGTTCAGTAGGGAAAACACATTGGCTTGGGACAAGGCAAGTAAACTTGGATCCGGAAAATTCACAGGAAAGTCACTAAGTCACTGAAACATCCATTGATTTTTAATTGACGTGTTAAGTACATATGTAACCCCATCAAATTAATTCTCTTTAGGGACATTTTTCTCCCTCCCTAAATCAGTATTGTCTCACTCCGCTTTGCTTCTTGTTGACCCTTTGAGAAYTGCATGTGATGCATACACTTGCAGTACTTCAGGATTAGTTTTGGTCATGAATTGTTTTGTGCCTTATGATTAACAGAAAAGCAGTAATCATTTTGTGCACTTTAAGCAGCATATATCTTTAGAAAAGCAGCAGGTAGCTGGGATTTTTTCCCCTCTGAGTTGCAGTGCAACTCCCTCTTTTCCTCTCATCTTTTAAGTGCTATTAGATTATTCAATTTCTAGATGTCACTCTTAATCTTCTTCTAATCCATTTGCCAGCACTATAACCACTGTTTCCCACCCAGGCCCAGAATTTTACCTGTACTGTGTCCCTCAATCATTGTTCTGGTTCAGATCAGAAATGCACCTTTAAGACAAGTATCCACCTACTGTAATTTGTGGTACTAGTTGGGCTTTTTTGTTGTTTTTTTAGCTTTTTTTTTTTTTTTTTTTTTTTTTTTTTTTGGAATTCACAACAATTTGGAGACAACAAACCAGGCATATGCATGTTCACAGTATGCCAAGGGTGCTCCATCTGCTCACAGGCATTCAGTACAGGAACAGACTAGAACCAGTCCAAAGTTAAAGAATATAATTCTTGAGTAGAAGAAGGTGGGAATTACCTAGTTTATTCCATAATCTGAGCAATTACTTCAATTCTGGATAAAACCTGTTGGTTACTCCTCTTGGTGTTACTTCAAGGCCTTTGCATCTATCCATCAGTTCTCATTTTTAAGTTCAACAGGTATTATACAGTATATGCCTCATCTACTCTGACCCTCTTTTGATTTGGTTAGTTGATGCCAAGTTTATTCTCTACAATACTGGTTTTACTGTGAGTTTGTATTTGTTGGGTTTTTTCCTTAATGTATCTGGTAAAAGAAGAGCCTGATATTACCGAAAACTATCTATTGTTTAGGGAAGAGAGTATAATTTTTCCAGTGACTCCCTGTCACCTAATACAGCTGAATATATTTGCATTTTTCCAGTGCTGAATAATTACTTCTCTTTCTTGCAAGTCCAAACGTAKGTGGCTTGACTGATCTAAGTTCCCATTGCTTTGACATCCCTTTGCTTACCCTAATGTCCAATTTAATATGCTTTCTAAAATGTCATCTATCATTAGTCTGTAGTAAACTCTATGTGATGAAAACCTGTTCCCAGCTGGTCAGTCACTGGCTTGCTGGAACTCTTTGGGAATATCTTTCAATCACACTGTAAATCTAACTTACACTAGAGCATCCTTTCATCAGCAGAACTGGAGCATGTACAACTAARCCTTGGCAGGCAGGACAATTTTTTTGGTATTTTTCCCTCATGATCTGTATGTCATAGGGATGGAAAATCTCAACAGGCTTTTCGTCTGCAGGTTACTATTTTACATCAGCCCAAGTTGGTAGTAACTAAGATATTTATTATATGTTAATAGACCATATTAAATGAGCTTGGCTCATGGACAATTGAGAAGTGTTCATATGATGTGACTTCCTAACTGATGGCAGTTAATTATTTTGGCAGAGGCATAGAGGACTGAAATAGCAGTTTCTCTTGTTTCTTAGGATGTGGAATAGTGGTGGATTTATGGGAAGTGTTACTTAAGTTGCCCACACAGATCTGTTATCTGCCTAACAGTGGTCTTAGTCCTTAGCTATCTCAGGAACTGTCTAGGGCTATTCAAACCTTTATAGCTGTAAACAATCTGGAAAAACATAAAGATGGTCCTTATCTATTGAATTGTCAAACCTGTGAATAAGGTGGTCATCACTTGAGGATGGAGAACTGCTGCAATTTCCATACTAATCAAGAGTACAGTCAATCTTTCTTCAGATTTCTCTTATTCCAAGCTTCTTCCAGGAAATGAAAACTTAAGTGGTAAAAACTTCAGCTTCCCTATCCAACATTTAAGAGTATACATTCTTGTTCCTTTCCAGGCTCCTGGTTATGGTGATGTAAGGCTTTCATTGGAGACAATACCAGATACTGTAAATTTGGAAGAACCTTTTGACATTACATGTAAAATAACCAACTGCAGGTAACAATGTCTTGTGATTCTTGTATTTTGCCTGAGTGGGTGAGTTCTGGCTGGTTTTGTTTCAATTTGCAATATTTTCTCCTGAGACAACTTAAACCTTGTCTTTATTATGAGTTGTAGTAACACAAAAATATTTTGTGTTTACTCTCTGAAACACAGAGATTTGAAAGAAAAAAAAAAAAACCCAAAAGAAACAACTGTAACTAAAAAATTTTCTCTCATGATCTGTTATTGCTGTCTGAAATAGGAGATTACCAAAAATCTGTAGAGGCATTCCACAGATCTGCAATATTATTTAAGATTGCACCTCATACTTCAATCAGAAATTGTCTTAGGGTTGCAGTGACATTTAAATTAAGCAATTCTAAATARAAGTTGARGCTAGGGACTAAAGCATGGATCTGGCCTGCAGATACTTCTCATGGAAAGCTTGTAGTCCATCCAAAATGTAAGTACTATTATGCTATCCAGTATTGCTAAACCCAAGATAGGATGCTCGTGTCAAACAGAGCTATCTGCAGCTGAATCACTGTGCCTTACAATAAATACTGTTTGCTGCCTTATAAGTATTTATGAATCTTGACTAATAGTAACTTGAAAAATAATCAAGCTTTTACATCTCTAAAGTCTTTGAATGCTTAAAAAAGCCCACAGGTTTATTCTTGGTTTTCACTTTCCTCTAGCAGTGAAAGGACTATGGATCTGGTTTTAGAAATGTGCAATACTAATTCCATCCACTGGTGTGGAGTTTCGGGAAGGCAACTTGGAAAGCTGCACCCAAGCTCATCCCTCCATCTTGCACTTACATTGTTGTCTTCAGTGCAGGGATTGCAGGTACGTTATTAGAACACTTTTGTTTTAAAATAACTGGTTTATAATATTAATGGTTCTTTCTAATAACAACTCTTGTAAATATTTTCCCTTTCTAGAGTGTCTCTGGCCTAAGACTTACAGATACATTTTTGAAGAGAACATACGAGTATGATGATATTGCACAAGTCTGTGTAGTTTCTTCAGAAGTCAAGCAAAGTTGAAAAAAAAATTCTGTAGTTTTGCTGGGCTTGTTTTATTTTTGACCAACTTCTTTATGTTTTTGCAGTCCAATTGTATTAAAATGAGTACAAAAATTCCCCAAATCCCTATATAGATGTAAATGTAATAATGATTATTTAATTTCTCTGAGCATTTCTTGAATGTTTTAAAATCTTTTAAAACATGCATATGCATTTTATCTACTAAAAATAAAACCTTTGAAAAAATTGTAGTTCTAGCAAATTATATTGCATTTACATAATCTCAGGATAGGGGGATGAGATTGATAWGAAATAGTGACATTTTGTACTTACTTTTCTTATTTTGGTTTTTTTAAAGTATTTAAACCCTTTTAAAATCATGATTCTGACAAAACTGCTTCAGTTCAAAGGAGCTGATGTTTTACAGACAAGTTCCTGGAATCCAAATCCCTAAAAGAAATAATTTTGGGTACCTAGCATGGCAGGTATTTGCATGGTACATGCATAGCCATAGGAAATAGAACTTGATAAAGTTATGACATGAAAGACCGCAGCTGGCACTGTTGAGGCACCAGGAGCTAGGCAGTGGAGTATAAGCCAAAGACTGTGTTGGTTGTGGTCCAGTCTTTGAAGAGGAAGCAATACTGCAAATCTGTCCCAATCATCTGCAGTCATGACCAGAATTGCGCATCCCATCAGTACAGGACATGCTGAAAGGCATATGTTTTTCCAACTAGTACGGAATTGAAAACTAAAATAGCAAAACTCAGATAGTTTTTTACTATTAAAATAAGGTGGTGCCAATTATTCTTCCTATCCCATATTTATATATATTTTTAAGAAGGAAAAAACCCCCTGCATGTCTGCCTTAGATCACATTCTATAAAGCATATACAGAAAGAAGTTTAGGTCCTGGTCAAGCACTAAAATGTGCTTTTCCCTAGTTTTGTTTTGACAAAAACTGGAATTATTTTTAGCTGAAATATCTATGGTCACCCCAAGATAGCTATTTATTAGATAAAATGGCAACTGTCTTTCCTAATTTAACACTAGRTAAACTAGTGTTAAATATTCTAGTCAGCAGTTTGTGTTTCTCACCTACATGTTGGAACTTAGCAACATTAGTTAGTTTTGATGGTATTCTACTTTAGGCTTTTCCATGTATAAAATCTTAAAGTGTAGAATTCAAGTTAAGATTTTGTTTAAATTTAGGACCAGCTCCATGTATTAAAGGGACTAAATCTATACGGGAAACAGTAAATTGGAAATGTGTCCTGCCTATGTGATAAAATCCAACCAACGTGAACAGGTATTTTAAAGAATGCAATTTACATGTTACTTCAGATATATAAATCAGAAAACCACAACTATACAGACAAAAAAGTATATAACTTTATTTATAATATATCTTCAAGTTAAACTACACAAATTGAAGGAGATGTAATCACATGGCAATAAGAGGTAGGAGAGATACAGAAATAGTAGACAAGTCGCATTATGCCAGTATGACTTTCTGCAGCCATGAAACAGTCTACTCAAAGTTGCAGAGCTAGTTCTATCTCGATATGCATGAGTGATTTTACTTTGCATTTGTTACAAAACCAAGAGTGCAACTGAAACAATTTCTAAGCAGAATATTTCATTAGGTGTCTTCATGATCAGACACAGAAGAATATACTCCCATGCAAGCAGGTTACAGGAGTTTACAATTGATTGCAAAATATTTTCTTCTCTAACAAATTATCATACTTATACACTGATGGAACAGTAGTGATACAAAACAATTATGTATAAATACATATTTGCTCAGTTGAATGATAAACTGCAATTGACCTTAAATTAAAGCAATATTTACAGGGATTGTGGTTTACCACTTTATCTAGCAGGATGAAGAATTTTAGCGCAAGATACAGTGCAATTACTACACAGGAAAATATTCCTTCCACACCCTGTGATTAAGACATGTTGCATGACTGAAACAATCTAGGCAATTTGAGGAAAAGCAGACTTTAGCATAAATGACCTCTCTGTTCCTGATTGCAATGGAAAAGCGTGTAATGACAGCTCCTGTTACTGTTTTCACTGTTTTTTGTTTAGGCTATAAAGCCCTCTCTGTTAATATACAAGAAACAGAGAATGTTTAGTAGTATTGTGCCAGCCAGTTGTAGCACATTCCTGAAGGCTTAGCTAATGTTGTGAACATTTTAATCTATACTTTGTACTATCTGAAGTAAAACCTAAACACAACAATACTGTAGCATGTGAAATGAAAGGTACAACTCTTTGAAGATGATTTCAAGAGTAGTTTTCTGATAATTAATTAATGCTTCATTCTGTTTAACATTGGGGATTGTTCTCCCATAAATCCAGTAAACTAGAGAGTTTGAAAGTACTTGAAAGTACAACTTCAACTGCCCTTTTTGGACATGAACATATTTTGAAGTTCTTAAGGAACTCTCACGAAATTCTTGACACTGTCTTACACAAGAAAAGTAACTGAGTGCATGAGGATTGCTGTTGCAAAGTAAGAATAAATTGAGTTTGTAGAGAGATATTGGCAGAACTGTCCAGCCCACTGTGGATTTTTTGGTTCTCCCTATCAAAGTTACACAYTGTAAGCAGTTGAAGATATGAAAGAGAGAATTAAAAGGAACTGTGAAGTTCAACACGATACATACTAGATGCATTCTTTTCTCCTGACACAACACACTATTCCAAGTAGTATCTGCRCACTTTTTGTAGCCCACCCACAGCCTCCATAAGTCTGTCTTCTAAATAGTATTGTGTCCAACTCAATGTAACTGAACTTAAGTAACACTTACTTTGAATGGATTAGATGGAGGATCTGAGATACCTCTGATAAAAGGTCCCTCCAAGGGATTCTCTTTCTGGTCTTCCGATGTTAAGTCAAAAGCTGTTACTTGAAAATGTAAAACTTAAGTATCTCTACAGCCTCAAAAAAAGCAGCTACACCAACTTAAAGAGAGAATTTTATAAAGCATTTTAATGCTGTACATAGGCAAGCTCTATTCAATAAAATATGAAATGTTTAAAATTGTTTAAGTTGATCTATTAAGCTTTACCTCTTTATTCAACAGATGGTAGTATGGATTTCCCAGTTTTGTGTTTTCTCCAATTCCTTTCATTTCTCCTTGGATTCAGCTGCATTTTTCCCTCTGGTTTTGTAGGGTCAGAGTCACACCATAAATGCACAACTGTAATTTTTTAGAATCAAGTACATTACTTGGCCCAAAMTTTTGCATTTGCTTCTGCTTGGAGGAGCTCTTTTAGGAGCATAAGATCAATCGGATATAAAGTCGGAGGTTCAGAGTTCCTGTGTATTTCTCCATTTGGGAATTTATTGTTACTCCTTTACATACCTCCTCCAGACTAACTGGCCATGAGAGATCACTTTGTCTTTGAAATCAAAGCAGGCTCCTCAAATGAGTTTAGACACACAAAGAGGAAAGTGTGTTGAGAATCTCCCTGGGCTAAGAAAAAGTGTACTTTGTATCAGAAAGCAGTGTGAACAGTAAGCAGAGTAAAAAAGTTAACACACTAGACACAAAAGCAGCAGTTTTGAAAGAGTAATATTAACTGAGCAAGACACAAATATTATAGAGTGGAAAAACCTTTAACTTGACTAAATAACCATCATTTTAGATAGATACGTGTAGTTAAACTTTAAAAAAAATCCCCAATTTTTAAGCCAGTGATTTATCACACAAGAATAGAAAAAGAATCCTTCTAAGGCAGTTCTTTTTTTTAAATTTTCAGTACTAGTTATTTGTACAGTCACAGGCTCAGTTTTAGCTTATTACAGTTAAGAATTTTAAGTTTATACTAAATACTGCATACATACGGAATGTAATACAGCTTGCCATGCTTAGGAACATAGTGCCATAATTCTGACCTCCAGGGCTACCATCATGATGTGAGGGTATACATGGCAGTACAAAAGCCTAAAACTTCTTTCTTTTTTCTTTCCCAAGCAAAGTTCCATTTTGATTTCTGTGCATTATCCTACACAGAATAGTTGTCTTCTCTTTGTGGTACTCCTTCATATGTGATCATCTCCCTCTCTCCTGCCCAATGAAGTTGAGAAATATTTCCTGTTCCTCATGAAGGCTTCTCCACAGTCTTAAACAGACTTTTCAAGCATGAGTTTTACAAACATACTATACTCCAACACTACTTAATGCTTATTAGAGAAAGGGCATGTCTGATGGGCCTATTGTTTCAATATTTCAGTATTCAATGCTGTTTGAGGGAGTATAGCCATCATGATTCTCACCATATGAGTAACGTGTCTATCGTAAAATAGCATTTTAGAATTAGGTGTTAGGCAAGATCAGTGCACTACAAAACTCCTCCCAACTCAGTAGCCCCGGAGGTCAATCTAGTGCACATACTGAAATGACTTGGACTTGGGGATTTTTATAAACCACCTATTCAGTGTATTAATTTTCAGAGGAGTAACTATACATAAACACTATGTTCCAAGTTATGTGCAAGAGATCTGTTTACCAGATTTATTCTTGTTTGCAAACACACACGAAGAATTTTCTGTCTTCTATTCAAGCAGAAGAGTTACAATGGTGCTTTTGCTACTAACTATGGTATGCATTTTGGGGTTATATATCATTCCAATTCATATGACTCCTTGAAGTCAGGAATGTTCTTCAGTGCTGCCACTCAAATATCTGCTCCGGATATGATTTCTCAGTTGCTCTATGAGCTCAGGATTCTGCTGCTGTATCTGCTGTGCAAACTGCTGCCCCCTGTGTTGAACAGTTTTAAGTGAAATCAGCAAGTGAAAGCTGCATTTTTAAGAAAACAGGATGKCCCAATACAGCTGAAAGGTGCATTACATTAAAATTAAGATTAAACATGCCTTGACATATAGTCTTAAGATATTTGTAGTATTATGACTTTATCTGGTTAAAGTTTCTCCTAACAGGATTATCATAAATTTATTTTCATTCTTTAGTAATTTATTACTACTTGATAACATGTAGGAGAAAAGTATTATCTTATGCAATACATTACCATTTATGGTAAAATAACACATCTGTGCCAGTGATTTTTTTCCTTCTTTTTGAGAAGATCCACTCTAATTGTTTAAAGTGACTACCTTAAGAGTTGATGTGGAACCTTGTGTTAACTGTTCCAGAAATACAGTGTGCAGCTGCCAACTTGTACTTGTGAACAARATGTCATAAGTAGAAAGCAACCACATTATCACATCTTTTATGTTGCATGATCGAAGTAATAACAGATCCATGTCTCTCATAGGTGTAGCTTAAGAGGTAAATTAGTAGGTTCCATGTAAAAGATAAGTGCAACACTGATTTACTAAAAAAAATAGTAAGTAAAAAATAGGACTTCACAAAAAGCCTGGTTTGGCTTCTCTGTAACTTCCACATTTTGTCCAAGTAGCAAACTATCAAGACTGCTTCAAACCATAGTTTTGAAAGAAATCTGCAGGTTGAAGGAAGGCTACATTTTCATAGATGTCTGCTTTTGTGGAAATAGCCCTAGATTTTTGCAGTGATACATTTCTATCTATGATGTAAATTATAAATTAATTTAGCCCTGAAGGGGTGGAACGTAAAAATAGTTTGAAATTGGCTAGAATGCTGAAATAAAGTAAAAAAGTTAAAAAAAAATATCTTGGCATATAAACAAATGGCATGTTTTTGTGCAGACCCTTCCAGATGGCTTTTATATCATCATTATAACTATAAAAGCCTTGGGTCCTGGTTTTTGTAAAAGTGATTATACTGAGTTGTTATATTCGTTATTATACTGAGTTGCCTGGAACATTCCTTCTCTAAATGGAGGGATGCCAGAGCAGAAACTGGTTTGACCTGTGCTAAGTAAATCTGTAGCTTTCCTAATATCTGAGATATCAGGTAGTAAATTTATCCACACTATTTGAAAGCACACGTAGGAGTACTTAAGAGATTTAAAGGAGTATTTTTAGTAAGGGGCATTAGAAAATAACATATGAGAACCAGAAAGTGAAGCTGAGCATGCAGCAGTTCAGTTATTCCAACTGATGGAAATACACAAAGCAAACAAACTCCTGGAAAATAAGTCTTCAAGGTTTCAGTTTTAATAGCAGTGGGAATAGGCCACAGTCTAATTTGTTTGACGTGACAAATAGATGTTGCACTATTATCCTACTGCAAATATGACAGTTAAAACTATGCAGTTCTTACTTACGCGTGGATCAGGCTGGACAAATCCGACAGGCCACCAACCCCAGCAGCAGGGCCACCAATGGCATTTGACATCATCCCTGACATCCTGGAAGAGTTAGCACAGTGGTGGTATTGGGGTGTGCAGGGACCTTTACTGTAAGCAATAAACCCCATTTCGTTTTTGAATTGCYGAGAGGAACTAATTTGCCAGAAGAAACTACAGTAGTTTTAGTTAGAGTAAAAACAAAAATAACATTACATTTTCAGTAATCTATCTATATTTCAAAAATAAGTACTGTATGTCTTCTATTAATTCAGACATCTAAAGACATTTGTTTTAATGGTACCCCATTTTAATACTTACAATTGTTGAACTTGAGGATTTTGCATTAAGCTTGCTGCCTAGAATAGACAACATACAGCTGAAATTATAAGGCATTTACTACTTGGATATCGCTGAGAAAAACATGATGAAAAAACCCCACATGCTGCATTCTGTGTTTTATTACAAAATTAAGTTTACGTGCACAGCAAAAAGAATCACTATAGCAATGTATTTCATGGAAATGAAGCTGAGACAATTTATTAAATGTTAAAGAAAAAATAGTGGTTACAAATTCAGAAAAAATATGAAAAGAAGCCATTAAACATAAAAAACCCAATACCAGAAAACKAAACAAACAAAACACTGAAGAATTGCAAGCACAAATGTTTTCTRCTGGATTTTTTGGAGAAAAGTGTGTATTTTGTTACTTCCCAGCCCAATAAATTAGTTTTTCAATTATTATTAGTACTAGGCATTAACAGTTAAGATTATGGCAACAATGTATTTCAGAGCAACCTGGAGCGTGGACTTACTTTGTAGCATGGTTTTGTGGTAACATATCTCTTCTATGGTAACTGCATATCTTCTTATTTTGTAGTAAGCATGAGGCTATTTAAATTTCTCATTTATAAGATACTTCCAAAATTATATTACATTTATCATAGTGTAAGGGTGTCTATGGACTGATACTACAGAAAAAASGTGATATTTCAAAATTAGTAATGTAATTCGTACAGAAATCAGTGTCTGTATGAATATACCACCAGTAGACACAACACACTGTGCTTCTTAACTCTCTTACTAAAGATACTACAAAAATCAGATCTATCCAATGTTCATTTTATTGATCAATGTATGGTCACATGTAGATAACTCAAAAGTAAATCAACTTCTTTCTCTAGTTAATATTTGGATATAAAATGTCACATTCGGGTCAATTCTGTGCTTAATACAGGTTTCTGGTTTAGTCTCTTCCATTAGTAATATGCCTGGTTTAGTTTAGGAGCCCAAAATGTAGGCTACAAGCAATTTTCTCAAGGTCAGACAGGGAGGCAATTCTYTTACCTTAACAACAAAACAAGTAACTATACCTTGGGAAAATAACTCATTCATTCCTGAATAATTGACCTGTGTTTTATTTACTTGACCAGGCATCTTCTAGAAACAATGTAAAAGACCCTTTCCCAAAAASTAGCTCTGTACATCATTGATTCCAAACAGACACAGGTTGTCTTGAGTACRTCAAGTGGCCAGCGAAGTGATACGCAGAGTTCCAGTGCTATTTAATCATGAATGCTTTCAGAGAACTTGCTCCCTCTTTCTTTGCCTGCTATTATCTGGACCATGGTATCAAACCAGGTGTGTGGATCTCTTTTGAATGCAATGCACTTCTACACAAAAGCACTGGTTGGAATGTCCTGTTCCAATGAAGTTACTAGAGCGCTTGTAAAGTTTTACAAGTTTGTTTTTTGTGGTTTCTTTTTTTTTCATTTATTTTTCTCCAAATTCCATTCTACAAAGGTAATCAATTCCATTTAGCTAAGAAAGCCATGCAGGAAAAAAAAAGAATACTGAGGGAGAAATACAATTTGTTATTGTACTGAACATAAAGGAATGCACTATATGCTATTTATATTCATTTTTTGAACTTTTAAGGTTACTTAGGAGAGTTTGAAAGAGTTAAGAACAGAAAAGCCTCTTGAGTAGTTCTCCTGAAGGACAGTTACTTTAGTCCTTGTATCATTATTAACTGCTCTGTGCKAATTGAAGAAATTTTCCTCATGCTGTTGTCAAGAGCTTTACTGTCATACCATATATAAAAACAGCATAACTAATCGATGTGTATTGTTTTCCGTAAGTAACACTGAATCAACTGGAAATAAGACAGGCATATTGGAAATATATGCTTCACTTCTTGATTGTAAAATTATGTTGAAATTCAGTGTAATAAAACCATTGCTATAATAATAGTCATTAAAACTGCTTGTTATTAAACAAGAGTTGTTCTTAAAAGTTCAGTTTTTTAAATGGGATAATGTAGACCTTGAGATATACTCACCATACTAATGAAGGCAGGATTGTTTATCAAGCTTGCCATGTCAAAACTCAGTCCAGTTCCAGTCTACAAACAAATTGCAATTGAAGCTAAGTTTCCTACAAAATCGCAGTTAAAACTATTGTAAATAAATAAATACAGAACAAACTTACAGGACTGGACACRTCTCGTAGTTTCTGTTCCGCTATTTTCAAATTTGATTTGTAAGAGTCGTTCTCTGGATCAAGATCCAGTGCTTTTTGATAACTGGTCACTGCTTCTTCATATTTATTCACTGAGGTCAGAGCCAGCCTAATGTGAAATAAAGAGATCCTGGTTAGAACATAAATTATCATCAAAAGCTAATGATACATGWTCTAAGTAAAACAGTCATAGCTCATTTTTAGCTTGACCACTTAATTAAAAGAAGTTTTGCTATTGTGATAGTATTGCTTAGTGTAAGCACATATTTTTTAGAAAAAGGGATCCCTCAAGAAAACATCTTGCATTCTCTTGTTTCATATATATGCAAGTTTGATTAAAAACTTCTTGGTATCATCAAGTGACTTAGGCCATACTTTAAGAGCACAAGCAGGACCCAGCTTCTGTGACTATTTGTGTAAGTGCCAAGTGTGTTTTCTGGTTCTTTTGACCCAAGAGATTATTTAGAAACTTACATGGGTAAGTAGGGCAAAGATACTCTTAATGTGAGTTCTGCAATGTTAAGAAAAGAGACATACAAATATACTGTGTTTATATTTATATATTTTATATATAATATATATAATTATTCTATTAAATATTTTAACATAAAATRTATTTAATAACAATTAATATATTGCTGTCTTTATACATTTATATAAAATACTATCTATAATTCTTATATTAAAATACCAGGCCTGCAAGTTTCAGCATAATAGATTTTTGTCTCAGGCTCTCCTTTTGGATCTTGTACTTCAACAATTTGACAAATGGGTTATACAGCATAGTAGTAAAATCTGTTAAGACACTGTAAGAAACCCTTATATCAGGGAAGCCTGCTTAATATTTTGAAAAAAACTGCTCCAGCAGAGCTCATAAGAGCACAGGACAGACCTACAACCTTTAACCAGTATTTGTTTTCAAATTCAATTAGCTCCTACATTTAAAACTTAGTCCTTCTTTGAACTATTTCTGAAGTCCATCTGGTTGCAGCTTGAGTTCTGCCTTCTACTGTATTTTCAGTTTATACTGACCAAAAAACTAAACTGATCTTTTCCACATTTTGTAAAAGATTTGTGTAACCCACATTCAGCTATTTAGTACTTCAGTTCACCCTCTGACATGTGCTGAGCTACACTGACAGGGTTGATAAACCTGTGCWTAATTATGCCCCCAGACTGACCCTGGTCTTTTGTCTCATGCAAACAAGTTCAGTGTTTTAGATGTCATCACTCTCAGGAAGAATATGAAACTCCCATTACCCCCATAAAAAACAGTCTCCCTTTTGGCCCATTAACTTGCTAAAATAGTTCCTAACCAGACAATAAATGCAATGCTTTATTTCTGTGACGCAATTGTGCTTTTTTCAGAGAAAGTTTCTTGGAACATAGTACAAGTCAGAACAGCAGGCAACAATTTCTTTGCTCACAATTCCCACCCACACAAGTGCTCTTTCAGAGTCATGCTGGAAATACCACCTTTCGCTGACATTCCCACTTTAAAATGGCTCCCATCTCTGTGTATTTGTGGCGTAATGCAGAGAACAAATACAGAGAACACATCTTTTTCATAATACTTTTTGTTGAAAAGGTGGTTTCTACACTGGGGTGGGGGAGGGGGGTTCATTTATCACTAAACGAGCACTGTTTCCTCATTCAGCCTATGCCAAATGTTTACTCATCTGCTACAAGGCAATTGGTTGTAGCTCAAAATATGTCCTCTATTAAAACAGAACAAATAAAGAAAGCTTAATTGCCTGAGAATGGTCCCACTTACAGTGTGTATCAAAGAAAAATTGATCTTACACCCAAAACTCTCAAATAACCTCCAATCTCCAGTTAAATCAGCCTGTAGCATCCCTCCATATCAGTGAAATTGAGGGAGCTTGGACTGTGCTATATGAAGAAACAACCTAAAGAGAGTTCAATGAAACCAATTCAACAACCAATTCAACCTAAAATGTCCAAATTAATTAATAATTTCAAAAGCTATTTAGTCTACTTTTGTATTAGTAAAATGAACTGTATTGTGGAAAGTTTCCAAGTGATAGAATTTCATCACAGTTTCTCTTAAAATAAATACCCTGCATAGTTTTGTCCCAGGCCAGCAAGAATTATCACAGACAGTTTCAGGGCATGGTTCAGAATTTAACACAGACTGATGCAGTTTATAGCAATAGATTGTTCAGATGTGCCCATTCCATGATRCAAACTAAATTTTAGCAACATGAACATGAGCCATTTTGTGCCAACTCACCCAACAAACAATCCCAAGCATTTTTAATTTTACTGGTATAAATATAATCTCAAAAGCCATGTGCAGCTCTAAGTCCACAACCACAATGTGTTTGATTATTGAAAATGCAAAGCTAGACATCTTGGAAGAATTGGCCCTTCATTCCAATCAATAGCCTGTTTGGAGCATTCTTGACATTGTTTTCAGGTAATACTTAAAACCACCCTCAAAAGGCTAAACAGTTAATCTCTCAGACATTACTGAGAAATCCTACCAAAAAGACATAGCTTATTCTTGCTAAAATATCTGCTTCCAAAGAACTATTGAACAGAAAAATTAAGCCCTTATTCCTGGTAGTGTGAAGACTCAGTGCTGTCTTCTAACAGCATCATTGACAGATTCACTGTTCCAATAGCAGGATTTTGATTACTTATATCTTGTTAGGAAGTAGAAAAAAATCCATCATCACTTGCTAAACTAAATCTCCCAAGTGGATAAATTGAAAGAAAAAACTGCAAACTGATGAAATCTGATGAAAATGCTGATATATACCACATACATAAAAAGAACTGACAGTCTGATAGAGTAATCTTCAGAAAATCACTACACTTTCAGAACAAGAATKTCAGCTAAGTAAAACAACTGGCTTCACATACTTCTGAAAATCTATGGTGATATACACATGGGTCTTTAGTGTTTACTCAGATTTCTATTCGCTTACCCCATTCTTCCATAAGCTTTGCTGTACTTTGGATCTATTGCTATGGCACTCTCACAGTCCTTTATTGCTTCCCTGAAGTTGTTGAGCTTACTTTGAGCAGCAGCCCTAAGAGAAAGACAGTAAGGAAATGAGAAAGCTTTGTAAAAAAAACCAAACAAACCCAAGCAAAAAAACAATAAACACCACCCCTTCACCCCCCACCAAGCCTAGATATCCACAAGTTTATGGCTTATTTATTCTTAACTGACTTTTCATGCACTATTTAGGCAATGCTTAACTTTTATTCATGAAGTAAGACAAGCACATGTTATGAGTTAAGTATGTGCATAAGTGCATTGCTGGACTATGGTTTTGGAGAACACAGTCTCACCTCTGAGGGCACAAAGGACAAATAATTCTAAGGAACTGTTTAAGATCTAGCATATGACTATGAACAAAATAAATCATAAAATCTATTACAAGAAGTGAAACTGTCAAGTAGTTTATACAATATCATTGTTTAAGGAGCAGTATTTTATACARTTGACATTTTCCAACAAGAAATATAATTTTACAGCCATTCCAAAGAATGCTGTGATTTTTCCTTGTTCAGTTTTTAAAGTCAACTCATGTTTGCAGGTAAATGACAATAACATTTCTCAATAACCTGTGTATTACTAAATTACAATTTCATCTCTATACTGGACTAAACATTGATGATATTAATACAGGAAGACTAAAGACTTGACTAAATTAAAAAGAACATTGAAACACATCAATGATCAAAACTTTGCCAGTTCAAAGGGTCTCAGATCACTCTAATTTATTCTCCTTTGGTTAAAAAAATGTAGTAGAAATTACAATTTTTTCATTGCATAAAGCATTTCTCATCTTTATTAGGAATGCTTTCTCCTGCRATTACCTTCGAATTACATGAGATTTTCTGACTTCAATTAAGATGGCTTCTGAATGGGACCACTTATCTATTTTAGATTGTTTGACAGTTGTCCAACTCCACAGATGCCAGTGAAGATTTATAAATAAAAGCCAGGGGCAATGCTCACCCTCTCATGTATTTGAACAGAAAATGTTTTTCCATATTCACAAGATTTATATGATCAGTTAAAATTCRCAGGGCATATCAGCCCTCTCTTTTTTGCACAGTTGTAACTAAAAAGCAACCCCACTGAAGACAGTGTGTCCCCATGGCTTCCAAACAAGCTTAAGAAAAATAAGAATATGGTATATATTTATTCAAATACTCTGTCATTCACAAAACTCCAARCAACTCCTGTTTTCTTTTAAATAATTACATACAATGCTGTACTGACTGACATCAAGATTCATTTTGATCCTAACAGATGTGGTATGTGATGATGCAACACAAAAATTATTCCTACTCTTGCTAATTACAGCTTTGGCATTTAAGCCCTTCTTCTAAGGAAACTCCCAGTGATTTTGGAAAGCTTTTGAATCTGGTCTGATATTTCCATTTTATACCTAAAGTCACTCATGTGATCAGTTTTCCCAAGGAATATAGATGATTCACACTTTGAACTACCACGTTAAATAAGTAAAATATTGGCAAACTGCACATTTCCTTTCTCTTTATGCTTGCCTTTAAACACTGAATCTTTTGTTGATATTTATCATAAACTAAACTCTGGAGCAATGAAAGCAGAGTTCCAAAAACAGCCAATCCAGTGGGCACACTGCCACAAGACCAGATTGACAGCACTTAAGTTAATATATCCTATATCCTTAAATTAATAATGGAGGCACTCTGAAGGCAGGCTCATTCCAGTAGGGCCCACAGTTGAGACTGCCTTTTCTCTTGGTCTGGTCTTCCAAGCAGTGATCTGCAAGAGCAGACAGCTCTTGGATTAACATGCCCTTCCAGGCTTATCTGCTGCCAAATCACTATGTCTTCATGATRGTAAAGAACAGATTAGATAACGAAACTGTAACAGCAGCATTGTTATTTTTCAACAGGTCACATATAAAAATATTGAGTATTTACAAAATGCTTGATATCACCAAAATGGGATTCCCACATTGATGATTTTTGCCAGGGATCCCAGTGCTAGGAGAGATAGACACAGCCACTGAGTCACTGAAACACAAAGGAAAAGCTTCTACTACTCTCAACAGGCTGGAAATCCCAGCCTATGTTATGATTTATTATAGACATCCTGATGCACAACGACAGATCTCAAGAGTTGTAAGAAATTTGAAAGCCCATATTAGAAACCTTTAACTGATATAGATAGGGTGAATGAGCTCACTTTCMCTGTAATTAAAAAAAAATTAACAATAGATTTCTGAATAATGGGGTTTCTAGCCTCGTGTTACTTTGACCTACTTCACAATTTAAAATAATGTTTACAAAATCCAGGAATGAAAGGTATATATCATTTTGGTTTTACCTGTTGCAGTAATAGACTGCATTGTTTGGATCCAGTTCTATAGCCTTAGTGTAACATTCCACTGCAGCACCATAATTTTCTTCTTTCATATGATTATTACCTGAAATAAATTATAAAAAGCTCTTAAGTAATTAGATGCTCTGTATGAAAGAAATATAGCATCTATGTAAGTGAGTTATGACTGCACTTATTATTMTTTTAAACAAATGTCATGGACTAATGCAAATAAAAATATCTGCTATGTCTGCGAAGTTTATTATGTAAGTTGCAGTACATCACAGAAATGTTCCTCTTCTCATCTTGGTATTTCAGACTTTCCAGCTAGTTTCTGCTGAAATGTAAAGATCACTTTACTGAGAAGTGTCATTGTAATTTCAGTTCCACTTCAGTGTAGATTCATCAGTCTTAAAAATCTTTGCAAGCCAAATAACCCAATATGCTATGTTAATTTTCAATCTCATTTTCTTACATGTCCAAACAACTTGCTTGTAACTATCCATATAACACAAAAAAACAAAAACGAAACTAAGCATGTAAGTCCTGTTTTTKTGATACCACATAATTAATTCATTAAGTTAATGAAAAATATGTATAGCACAAGCAACCTAAAATGATTCACAGGTAAAGTGTCTCACCAAGAAATCTTAGAACATTACTCTATAACAAAATTTTGTATTTCATATGTTTTAAGTYCAGTGGGGAAGAAAACAAAAGAGTTACATTTATGCAACTTCTCTATGGACAGAAAATTCCAGACGAAGGTCTTTCAAAGCAAAAGTCACCTTACACATTGTTTTGTYCCCAAAACAGGGCAACCCTGGTAGTTTCTCTCTTTCCTGATGACACAGTAGGAAAAAAAACCTAGTTCAGAGTACCCAAACTTGTCCATGGTCCTACAACTGTCAATTTTTGGCTGGCTAGATCCCAGAGAAGCCTTGATATCCTAGAAAGGTCAAGAAATTGTCATGAAAACATAAGACTTCCACTGACTTCCCTGTACTTTGGCCAAATATTTAAACTTTCTTCTRAAATAAACAAGTCAAGGCATAGGTCAATAAGTTACTACTGATGTAGGTAACTACGTAAGCAAAGTCTAGAAAAGTTCGGTCAGCGCAACAGTTTATCTCCAACAGAAAGCAAGACTGTGGGGCAAATCCTCTGTGCTTGCACTAACTGAAACAATTGTATTTGCATTTGTGAACATGGAGAGCTTAATGAACAAAACCAGATTTAAGTAACCAAGTATCATCAACGTAGTACAAAACTTCCTAATAGTGCTATAATARACTGTAATTTTAGTCAGCAATCCCTTCTGTGAGAAGTCAAAGAAACCATACTTGCATGTATACCCTCAAAATGCACACAGAATGTAACAGTATCTTTCTTGATTCTAGAGGCCCACTGTCTATGCAGCTTTCCTTTTTCCTAAGGTAAAGATCTGTATACTAAATTATGTTGTCAGACAAGAAAAGTCTTACAAGTTAGCTGCACTCAGCAAGACTGCAGCAGTTAGTGTTCCTTTAAAGCAAAAATACCATTGATAACTACCARCGTTAGAATTTCTGATACTGGTCTGAAGATGACCCAGGGTGCAAGGCTAAGCTGGAGATAGTGTCAGTGCATACTCTTGTTATCTCTCTCTCCAGCTGCAACCTTGCTAAAGGAAAACAGAAAAATAGCTGGATCTAATTCTACTGAGATAAGGAAAAGCAAACGTATTATTCTTGTTTAATATCACACAAAAATTCTTAAGACAAAAACACTACACAAATGGTTATACTRTCAAATGTGTGTCCTCTATACTGAAAATACTACCTATTGTTATAATTGTGCTGTGGTAATAAAACACATTAGCCATCCATTAGTCAAATTCTAAAAAATTAGGGCTAGTTTGAGACCAGAGGAGGAGCAGGCTGGTGGCCACAAAGGTGAGGGAAGTTATTCCATTGATAAGGACATATAGACAGAAATGAGAAAATAAAGTTATAGAATTAGGCTATTATGGAAGATACAGGTCAAGTGAATTCCCCAAGTTGTCTAAATTATTTCCCTAACTCAGGCAAGAAAACACTCATAACTGAAAAGCGAAATAGTGGTGATAGAAAATAYGTGTGTGAATATGTGGAAGATGAGAACAACAGAGAAAGTAGGAYGGTAAGTTTTAACTTTATGATGGGAAATTAACCAGAGGCATTTCAAGAGTTCAAAACTGCTTACTAACGCCCCTGACACCTGACACTTGAAATGGTCCTTTGGTAAAGTTTAAACACTTCCAATTTTTTCAGTAGAACTTTGGAATTCCTTTGGTAAAACCACACAAAAACTAACACATAGCACACACTAATTTTAATTCCTTAGTCTATTTCACAAACCCTTGTGGGCTGAAAGATGACAGGATAGAAGTCACAGATTTAAAACAGCTGTAACACCCACACTTGCAAAGTGCTGACTATTCCTACAGTTCAATAACCATACTGAGACCTMAAGCTATTTTTCCCTTTCCAGGAGTTGGCAGTAACAGCAAAATGAAAAGCCAGCACACACAGCAGGTAGGCTAAAATGACTAACAAATCTTTGCTTGTGACCTAACTATGTTTGAGCTCTCATCTTCAGAATTAAACAGCTAATGAGCAACTCCAACAATTAGGAAAATTTACTTTCAGAACCAAGAGTGGATTGCATTTATGATTACACATAACCACTTTTAAGAAAACAGGGACATGRAACTCATTTTGGAAAAGGTAGGACTTTTTCCACATTATTATGGAAATTTTGAGAGCATTACATCTGCCTTACACTTAGAAGTTTACTTATTTTTCCAATAAAACTTAACTCTGAAAATCTCACAAGTCATAAACAATGTGATTCATAAAGCATCAATCTGTAACAACTGGTAACAGTTATCAGTGCTACTTGCTTTTTTCCATTCCCCTSCCCTTCTTTTTGAGGAGAAATAACATGGATTCCTTCTCAGGCAGCATTAGTGACTTCTATGGTACAGCTGCTTTTCCTCACAGAACAGCAATAACAGCTGCCAAAGGGAAAATAAACAACTGGCTTGTCTGCAATTTTCATAAAGCACACAGATAATTTCACATATGTGAAATACTAACCCTAGTAAGTTCACAAGAATTTTTCCATTGGCTTCTGCTGGGTCAGTTTTTTAACCAGTGTTTGGCATCACATAACCATTTCAATAAAAGTAGAATCTTGTATTGGAATTCCATGTGCAAACAGCCAAACAATAGCTGCTCATTCTTTAAAGCTTCTGTTACTTGTTTATGTTCCCAACTTCACATGCTATCTCTTAAATTTTAAGCAACCTCTAGAACAAGGAACAGAATAAACATTATTTTCTTTGATCCTGGATGGAAATCACCTAGACCTCTTATAACATAGCAGTCACTAGAGAATATATAAGCTGAAGGGTTTTTTTGRGGTGTGTGTTATGCAGCTGCTTTACTATCACTACCCACAATAACCCMAAAAAAAAGTATTAAGAACATAAGACAACTTATTTCTGTTTTTATTACCAACCTTCATCCTTCAGTTGGTCAGCCTTTACAATGGACTCTGGTAAAGAACCTGAGAGAGGCAGCATGTCATTCTGTATGGGAAAAAATCCAAGATATTTTCCTTTAATATAGAAGCTCTGATTTTATCAAAAACTTTCAGAAGAGTGAGAAGCATCAGCAAACTATGAATGACCTCAGGCACATCAGACATTTATCTCTGGGAATTGCAAAATGTTTAAATGAAGAATAAAAACCTTCAAGTGAGGATGAGGCATCCATTCTTTACTCATTTTCTATATGGAATTTTCCTTGTCTAGCTGAAATTAATTCCTCCCACTGCCCCAAAAGATTCTCATTATGCTAGCTTTTATGGAAATYCAACTTTTTTTATATTTAAGTTTTCACATCATTTGGACCTATACAGCACTTCAATATTGCGCATACAATATTAAACCTTAACACATACTGGCAAAGTAATTCTAGAACCTAAATAAAATTCTTACCTTTTGAATAGAATTTGTGAAAATTTCTATCAAATGCTGTGATGATGCAAGATGAGTATCTTCCAGGGTAATCTTAAACACAGTCTCCAGACACTGAATTGCAACTTACAGGGAAAAAAAAATTAACAATATAAGTCACCAGTTTCTCAATAGAAGCATAACTTCACTAATTCATTTATAAAGCTGTGAGTCACTTCCTTATTCAGCTAGCAAAAGCAGCTCTTTGGAACACATCATAAAATAGAGGCTACCTTATCCCCACAGAATTGGCTTGCTGAAGAAGATCTAAGATATAAACAATCCACAGATAGTTTGGTCATTATATTTACACCAACTTCAAATTTAATTTCAATTCTTTCAGTCTTTTAAAGCTTTTTTTCTAATATAAAAATATGGTGATTCAACAAAAGCACTGTAACTCATAGTAACAATGATGCATGTCCATGTGTCACACACCGCACCTCAACTCAACAACTGGCATATATTTGCCATTATAACAGCTGGAAGAAAATGTCTCATCTTTACTGAATAAAGCAGTACTTASTACTCTCATCTTTTTTTAGAACAAAATATACTAATTTGAAGATACTTTATTAATAAAATGCTTCATTAATYACAAATCTTTATCCTATTAAAAAATGCATCTGCAATATCCTTTCACATGTTCTGTGTGGAAGGATTAAACAGCTGTCCGAAACCTGCAATACCGCAAATACACTCACAGTAAGCCYAAAAAATATAGAGCCTTATCTCTAACTAAACTAACTAAACTAGTTCTAAGTATGCTCATATTTTTAGACAAAAAGTATCAGTGGCAATTACTGTATGCAATTCTGTGTATATATTCACATACATATATACAAACAGACACAGTTGTACTATTGCAAATTACATAATTATTTTCCCTAAAATCTTAACATTCTAGTATAAAATTTTTATTAACCTGTATCATCTAAATGTTTTAGAGTAAAAACTGAGAAGGAACAAAGAAGGGTCCTTGTAAAACCTAGTTTGAACAGAAAAATGGCTTTTTAAACTCAAATTATGGACAACCAGGAGTATCTGAATCAAATTAAGTATCAGTAAAAGCAGATTCTTAGTATTTAAACTTACCTCCAATCCAATGTTAATATAATAAATATAATTTGAATTCCTATTTGCATTATAATGAAACTGAACACTGATTCAAAATTAGAAAAGTAAAATTACTGAAGGATAACAACAGTAAGGCCAGTTTTTATCTTCTATGTTACAGCTGGTGGGAAGGCAGCTGTAAAATGGGTAAATTTTGTAAAATGGGTACTAAAACGTGGAAGATGTAGTTTTTTTAAAAAATTATACAACAGAAATTTCTTACAAATAGTATAGTATGATACAAAGTTAAAGTTGATAACAGTTGAATACACTGCTAAATATCCATACAAGTTGCTCCTATAATCTATAAATCCATTTACCAGATTCTAAATCACCCAGTAAGAGGACTGAGGGATTTGTGTTAAACTCCTTTATCTCCTGCTATGTAGAAAAACTTAATTCTTGTAAACACAGATTGCTCTGAATTTTGAATTATATGTATTAATAGTACTTATTATCAGGCCTGTTATAAAATCAGTGGAAGTACACATATATTTTTTGCTTGTATGACTTAAATAGGAAGCCACTTGCAATAGTTTACTTASTAATATTCCCTGCCAGTTTAGTTTTACCTTAAGGCATTCCCTTTTCTGAATGCCTCGTCTCATTTCTAGTTTTGCATAAATTTAAAATACAACCCCATCCCTTACCTTTCTCAAAGCATCAAATCTGTGACACCAAATCTCTAGAAGAGATTATGCAAAATGTAGCAGTGCACATTATGCATAAACAAAATAATTCTGCATATAGTATYATTATATACTACAGATATACTCCGCATTTTCATCAAATGATTAGTTGGTGCAGTGAATTCCCATATTTCTCCTTTAAGTGAAAAATGGAATTTAGAATCTTTCTATCTATCTATCACAGATATAATAAAATTAGGACCTCTTATAGGATGAATCAATAGGTTAGAATAATYACTAGCTAACATGCAAGCCAACAACAGAAACCCACACAGAAATAAACACTACMAAAAGAGAAATTTTTTCAAATCAGAAGATGCAATGAGTTGTGACAAGGTCAGTAATAATCCTGTTTTAATGCTACAYAGAAACCTGACTCCAGTACTGTCAAAGGAGTAGAGACTTGTTTTTTGCCTGAAAAGCCTTTCAGGAGGCCAGACTGCCAGCACCTTGCCATCCCATTTATCAGCATGAGGCACTGTCAAATGCTGCATGCTTGGTATTATCAGGGAGTTGGGAAAGACTTGATGCACCATGTGAGCTGTTCTCCTAGGATTTTTCCTATGTCTTATTTCAAAATTTAAAGCCATGTGTTCTCCCAATTAGTTCTATCATCACCCACCTAAGTGGTGGCTGAGGCTTGAAGTGACAACCTTGCAAACCAGTACCAATGCCCACCTCCCTGCTGAACAGCTGTGGCTCACACAAACACCCACTGCCTGACAATACCAGCACCTGGGCTGTGCTGGAGCCCAGCTCTGGATTCCCARTGCCACATAGCTCCGGGATTTTTTTGGCGTCTAAACACAAGTTTRCACCACCAAGCAACACAAAGGTACCACAGTCAACATGCAAAACACTGATCACTGAATGATGATCACTAATTGGGCTGCTGAGGCCCCCTCAGTACTCAGTATCATCTTGCTTCATCTTACATATAACCTTACCCATGTCAAGTATTACATGCATCCACTGCCTTCCTGTTTTGGAAACATTGGCCTAGAGAAATTAGTTATGGTACATCAATCACAGAACTAAGAAGAAAATCACAGCTTTGTGCATCTTGTAGAGGGCTTTTGCTTTAATACCACAGAARCAGGTGCTATAGAAAAGAAAAAAGACAGAGTGACAGAGAGGGAAAAAMCCCACTCTGTAAATGGGAAAGAAATAATTGCAATTTAAACACAGTCTAAAATATAACTTGGAAGAAGGGAAGTTTCTAGTTCATCCGAAAGAGCTGAGCACTAAGCACCAGAGACCTGTGTCACTGCTCTAGATCCTCAGGGAATATATTTCTCTGGTCTACCTTCCAATTACTCCTCTGGTCTACCTTCCAATTACTGTTTTTTCTCAAGGCATTTTTATTCAACAAGCAAGTACAAAATTCCTAATGGAAATTTACATTCTCACTGACATTACTATGTAATTCAAACATGCGAAGTGCAGGTTATCATTGAGTATGAATACATCCTAGACTTGTATTTTTATAAAGAACAAAAGCAATGTTCTAGCTCTTTTTTTTTTGTTGTTTTGGGGGAAATGGGAACAGTTTGAATTACTTCTTGGCACAGTCAATTCATCATACAATGTTTTATCTTTTCATAGACAGTGAGTAGGTACATAAGGTACCAACAAAAACTACCAGTCAATTTTTTTCATCCGTTATGTCTCCACTTAACATGAAACACCTCAGTGAGTAAGACTTGGGCTACTGCTACTCTACATGCGCTAAAGATATCATGCACAACTAAAATGAGTCTATTTTTCAGGATGCCCGCCTCTTATCCTCTAACACATACCATATGGCACCATGCTTGTGGCAGAGCCCAGATCTAAAATTAGGATTTCAGATCTGTATTAAAATGGTAGATTTTGCATTAGCATTTAAGCACAACTGAGGTTTCATAATATTTCTTTTATTTAGAAAAGGGAATCTTTAAATTGAKTTTTCAATTTACACATTGCCAAAGGCTGCTCTAAGACATGTCATCAGGTAAATTTACAACCCTAACCCAGTGTTTACCAGTTTCATTATAAAAACAAAAGTAAATCTCTTCATATCTCATTATGTATGATTTCCAAAAACACCATTCTGTTTCATCAGCTGAACATCATCACAAGCTGATACAGTTTAAATTTGTTGATGGCTGCCACTTTTCAAATGTACAAAATGATGCTCCAGATTCTGATGTAAAATCAAACCTTTTGGCTGTTATTCCTTTAGGAATTCCTTTCTTTTTTACTTTGGTGAACGATTACACCTTAAAAACAAAAAACACTAGAAGGAAGCATACTCCAGGTTTATCTTTTAAGTTTATGCCTCTGAAAACCAGGACTTGCTTTGCATCTCAGCAAAGTCTCTCCAAAGCATAAAATTTCAAACAACTCAGTGATTATTTGCACTGCTGGTCCTAAACTTGTCCCTCAATATTCCTCCTCTGGCTGATGGGCGCAACCAAGCTCAAAACAGTAGAGAGATCTTTAAAAAGATGCTATGAAAAACTTGTTGCAGTATGAAGACTTTATTCTTATCTCCCTTACTTCCACATTCTGATACCACTGGATGTAAAAACTACAGGAATTATGGGAAAGGAATAAGAGCAGTATATARGAAAACAGCACATACTATGAGGTTACAAAGACCTAATGAGAAGTCTATCTGTAGACACAGCTACAGACTTATACAGATGAATTTGGGTGCATAATAGAAGCTATACCATATTGAACATATTCACYACTCTTTGGAACCACTACTCAGCTAAAGAATAAATGCAAAGCATTTCTTTTATTTTCCATATTCTTAGGATGCCTTTTCCCTCATAAATTACATAGAATCCTTGCAAATAGGGAACAGTTCTTCCTATAAACCAATACACAGTAATTATTTTACTTCCTCTGTAACCAGCAGAGCTACTAACAGAAATGAAATGCAGAAAGAAACCAAACACAAAAGAGAGAAAGAATCAGCAGGCAAAAATTTGTAGGCCACMTACACAAGTCATTTACCAGTGTCTGCATTACAGCACTGCTTAACTTAGAATCAAAGAATTGTTCAGGTTGGAAAAAGCTCTGCAATTGATGTGATTTAAAGTATCTGTTGCTCAGATTAAGGCAGTAGACATTTGTAGTTTTATAATACTTTTCAAATGAGAGATGTATTAAAATTAGTATCTCAGAAACACTAAGATCATTATCTTATTTGCAGATATTATTTGGTGGCAGTTTCATTTACATCACTCCAGTTACTTTCTGTGATGTCATAGATAAAGGAATTGAACATCTGTGTAGGTGTTATATACATACAGACACACACATATATATTTATATATACATATAAATTAATATATATGAAAGCACATTTGCTGCTTACCTTCCAAACTTTCTTGTTCATCTGGAGTGAAAGTATCCATCTGACTCTGCTCTCTCAAGAAATGGATGACTGCATAAACCAAGCGCTTGACTGATGACATGTTGAAATTGATTTTCTGTTGTGTCTTAAAAACAACAGAATATCTTATTTCTGAAAAATTAATTCCTATAGTATTCCAACCTCCTAGTAACCTCAGTAAGAGCTACACACAATACATAAAACCTTATCCTTCACTACAAAGCCCAATAAAACAATGCTTTGAAACAAGTGGTGAAATTGAATGGCTTAGGGAAAACTGCTGCAATCATCTAGTCTATCAGCAAAAAAGCACGTATTTGCTCTAATTCATTCCTGGGGGAAAGTTCACCAAGGCTAAAACAATTTAGCAAATATTTTTCATTTATAAGGTTTTTTAAAATGGTTTGCACTTTATTTCTAAGACATATACACTTGCAAGGAGGAAGTCAAAACCAGTTAAAAAACCATTGTGATAAATATAATGACATAAAGAAACACACTTCAATAAAAGTTGTTCTATGAAGTTACATGGTGTCATCCTTTGATAAAAGATGTTCTATGGTGTGACACAGTATTATCCTTTGATGAAACATGTTCGAGGGTGTGACACATACAGTGCTGTCCTTCAATAAAAGATGTTCTGTAGTGTGACATGGTGTTATCCTTCAATAAAAGATGTTCTGTGGTGTGACACGGTGTTAYCCTTTCATAAAAGGTGTTCTATGGGGTGACACAGTGTTACCCTTTTATAAAAGRTGCTCAATAGTGTGACACACTATTATCCYTTAATAAAAGGTGTTCAATGGTGTGGCATGGTGTTATTCTTCCATAAAAGGTGTTCAATAGTGTGACACGCTATTATCCTTTCATAAAAGGTGTTCTATGGTGTGACACCGTGTTATCCTTTAATAAAAGGTGTTCTATGGTGTGACATGGTGCTCTGAGCACTTTATTGTCACTTTGGACAAAGAAATGGAACACTGTGACCTCAGTGCATACTTGTGATTAGTGACACTACTGGCTCAGTCTGATTTCCATTCAGCATCAGCTGGGAGTTACATAACTTGGAGGACAATTTTAGTTACAACTTTCCAAGTTATTTTTCCTAAAACCATTTTGATTTAAAAGTGCACAACCTTATCCAGTTCTCCAGGTGAAGCAGGTTTAAAATACAGCATTAAATGAACGGCAAGATCAGGACCAGCTCTGGCTACGTTATTTTCTCTCCACAGCCCGCAAGCAAACCGGTGTGCAGCCAAACCCACGCCAGGCAAATCCCATCGTGAAGATGGGGAGGGCCGGGAAGGCCGGCGGCCGAGGATGCACGGACGGGGACACTGGGGTCCTCTATCCGCTGTGAG